AATTCAAGCATGCTTTATTTTGATTCAGTCAGTCTGCTGTTACATTCATGGAGGACGGACGGCAGGAATGGGATCAATATTTACTGTGGAGAAGCTGAAATTCCAAGCACTGTTACACATGAGAATTTCGGATTGGACTGAGACTTTTGATCTTGGGAAGAGGCGCTATTATAACGTCGCCATTTCACATGAATGTCAATGTGAACAAATATTACGGACTGTTTCTGACCTGTCATACGGCGTCATTGAGGACACCGAAAACCTCCGGCGACACGTGTTTGTGGTTTCCTTTGTGCTGTGAGATCACGACGCAGGTGCAAGCTGACAGCCTCGCCGACGGCGAGACCACCATATTGAGAGCACTTACCGTGTCATCCGTTTATCGAGACCACGATCACGAACGGAGGGATTTTGCTCCATTCCTCTCGTCTAAACCCAACCGAAGACATCCGAGCACAGTCGCATGATGTCGTTTTGTATCTTATCACGATTTTGACCGAGCGCTTTATCGGCCATGGGCTGCTGCTCGGCGTTGACGGGCCATTTTGGGGGACGTCCTGTTTGATTTTCACCAGCTGTGTTTTTGTTTGGCGACCGCCACCTGTATAAATTTGTCTTTGACGCGCAGCCGACGGCGAAGATGAATGTGAGATAGCATCGGGTAGCGTAGCGCATGCTATTGCCGCCGTAGCAAGTTGTCACATCATTCGTGCCACACGCAAAGCGGTCTACTTGCGCCTTCAACTGTGGTTGGTTTAAAAAAAAAAAAACAAACAAACTATAATACCATTCTTTAATTCACTGACTATTATTTGTTTCAAACTATAAAACCATTTATAATTCACTGACTATTTATTATTTATTTATTACTTTTCAAAATATGTTTGCGCCGAATGAAGTAAACTGAAGTGTTGCGTCTTGATCTGCGATACAAAAAAAAGTCAGTGTGTTTGGAAGGGTTGTTCCCGTGTCTGTTTTTGCAATCAATGTTTGTGCAATGTTATATGGCGTTTGTCATGTACAGTATAATCTGATGTATGAGGCAACGATGACAATTTTTTTGGGAGCCTTACCGCATCGATCATTTTTGACAAGGTCAAGCGGGCATTTCCGGAGGTGTACTTGAGAGGGGCTGGTCGTGGACAGCAGAGGGCGCCATTTCCCCACAGCACCGCACGCATCAACTTGCCTTTGTGCTTCAACTGTCACCCCGAGACGAGAGGTTCCTTTCGTTTTCCTGAGCCAAGGCAGCCGTTTTTACATTCGAAAAATCTCAAGCCGCACCACCAAACTCAACAGCTATTTAAATTGTACACAAATAAGGATGATCGCGTCTCAATTTGGTCCCACATTGACGGTATGTGATAAACTTGAGGGGTCGCTAGTTTGTCAGTTGGTACGGATGCTTTAAAACTGATGGTTTAAAACAAAGACACGATGATATTTGAGATTGGACGATATGAAACAATATATGGGTGATCATTCTTTTTTTCCCCATTTGGCCCAATGCTCGTTTGGACATGCTGTGGCAAATGACAGTGTTCCACGCAGGTTGGTCCCTGCGGGGCCTCCGTGTGGGAAAGCGGAATATTTCTTTCATTTCCAGCATGACTAAAAAACAGCTGTTAACACTGCGAAGGCTCACCCGAATACAACGCTTGTCCGTCAATCGTCTCAAAGCCAGCGGGCGCCGCTTCGACAAACATCCTCTTGTCATGTCACGTACTTCAGTCAATCAGCTTTTTGTCTTTGGCCGCCTTTGACGGGCTCGGCCGGAAATAATGACTGGATGTTGTTTGTGAAGCCCTTTTCAAACGCGGGCCGCCGTCTTGTTGTATGCGGAGTGAATCTCTGAGTCACCGATTTGGTTTTCAACGATGCTATTATTCCTCCAATCGGTGCGTGCATGTGGCGACGGGATCAGTGGCCGCCATCTTTGTGGGATTTTCTCATCATTTGGCTGAACTGACATACTGTCGCAGACGGTGGCAGATCTTCACCGAGCCTAGACGCCAAGTCCGAGGCAGAGAAAGAGTGAGAAGATTATTTCGTCACAGTTTTGATGAAAGAGGAAGGTTTTTCATCGTCCCGAAAACGCACGCCATTAGCCCTTCCTCTTGGCTGCGCCGTCCACGCGGTTTGGGCACCGCAGGCCGCGCATCCCCCTGTTGTTCGGGAATGTGTTTTATTCACACAGACAGCCAAGCTGTTGCTGCTTGTCTGAGCGGGACTGTGGGGGAGCCCTGCGGCGCTCCGTCTCTTCCCAACAGGATGGTTGATTATTCGCTGAAAAAGCCCGAAGGGCTCAGTCTGGTGGTTTCCAAGGGCAATGCCCCAGGAAAGCAAGCGGCTAATGAGAAAAAGGGCTCACGAGTAATGTGTCATTTGTCTGCAACGAGTTGTTGAAGCTTCGTTTTCATTCACCAATGACTCACAATGTTTCTCCTTCTTGTGATCAAATATTTGAACCCTTCTGTTGTGTCCGACACTTTGGAACAGCAGCGATGTTCCTGGGTTACTTTGGAGATTTTTCATTTCATTTAAAATTTTTATTTTGTTCGTGAAACAAACTTTGAATGAGAATAATAGAAAAAAAAGGTATGTGGCAACGGCTCTGATCGCAAGCTGAGATTGACCAAGACAATATTTCTGAACCGAGGACTCAGGACTTTCCGAACGGATGCGTTCATGTTTTCCAACCGAGTCTTTATTTGTGCACCGATGACATCTTGACAAAAGTTGACAATTTTGGACCGAGTTTCACATCTGCAGTCCAGGCAGACGAGCGACGCTTTGTGTTGCAACTTGCAAGCATGTGGTCCAAAAACGCTGCCGTGTGTACGTGAGTCAGTGTGGACTCTGCGCCGCAGCTGTGATGTGCTGTGCGATTGCAGTTGGACTTTTGTTTGTGCGCCTGTCCGTGTGGACACGCGCGCGAATATCGGCCACTCGCCCGAGAGTCAGATCGCGTGTGTCATTTCAAAGCGGGAGCCTCGGAGCTCGTAAAAGAAGGTGACTTGGCGCAAGAGGTCGATGACCTTGGCTTGCTGAAATAACAGCGCTGACGTTGCAGGAGGTCCGGGGATGGCCCTCAAGCTTTGTGGATCAAGTGCCCCAGGGATTTGGGGGATTTGGAATCTTCGTAACCTCTGTCGAGGTTCATACGTCTGTTTCTGTTTGGACAGCGGTTCCTCTTGCTGAGTGCATGACACTTATTGAAGAGGGTGCAGCTGACAATTCCGAGTGCTCCATTAACCTGCCGTGCATCTTTTTTTATAATGTGGGAGGAAACCGGAGTACCCGGAGAAAACCCACGCAGGCACGGGGAGAACATGCAAACTCCACACACATATATACAAAGAGTACATACATACGTGCAGTACATTGGACCCCACGGAGCAACAATTTTTCTACAGTACAAGCAATTGAAGGTAATATGTCCCCTCAATGAAAAGTGGAGCCCATTTGAGCTCTTTCAATGTGAACTCAGCATCTGATGACACTTGGGAATCGAGTGTCAGTTCTGGATCTCTGCTAGATGATATTGGCGAGCTTCTGTTGCTTGTTGTCATTAGCCAGTTATTGATTGATTGCCATTGAGGGCCTGAGCCGGCGGACCGCGTCCAGGTTCTTAGGTTTCCGGAGTTTTAGGCCAATCATTATCAACCGGGCAGTGTAATGCATTTAGTGCCGAAAGGTTTATTAACTGGTCCCACTTTTCGGTGACTTTGTTGATGTAGGTTAACACACTGACAAATGATGATGCGGATCATTGAGTGCGCCCACAGGCAAATTGTGCTGACTGGTGTCTGTTTTGTCTCACTCTTGCCCAATTGGAAGTCAGCCTGTGTTACTAAGTTATTTTTTCATGTCATTCATTTTCAAAATCAACATCTAAAGAAATAGCTCGAACACCAAATCATGTATGTGATGGTGTTTAGTGGATTACGTTACGTGTTTCCAGATCTCCTTGCTCAGTAAGGATTTCATGAGTCCATTTTTAACGGTTGTGGAGTCGACGTGGTCTCTTAATTATTTTTGCTCAGTAGAATGTTGTCTCATGATTCCTTTCAAGTATCTGAATCGAATGAACAAAAAAAAAAACGCCTGATCATGCAATGAAAACCAAGCTAAGATACAGTTTCTTTGACGTTTGCAGCAATGCGATTTCTCACTTGCATACGTGCCCTCGTTTTGTTCAGCTAAGCAACAATTTTCAAGTCATTTCGATCATGATCGACCCCAGACTGAGATCTGGAGGACAACCTGACACGAAAGTCCAGAGGCTGGATTATTCCAGCGGGTCCTGGATATCCAATTGAGTTCAGTTCCTATCGTAGCCAATTTGCGCAGAAGTCAAAACATTTCGCAGTCAAGTCAATGTTTCAATGAAAAATGTCCCTTGCCAGGACTGGTGGAATCCGAGGGGCCCCTTGTACATGATCATGCGTGTCAGCATTTGCGTCTGAAAGCTCACAATTCCGATTCATGTGATGGAAACATTTGCTGAAAGGAGCTTAAGATGGCTGGAATGGCCGATGTTGAGGGTCTCTGTCAACTCCTCCCAACGGCCGCATGAGAAACCGGTCCGGACAAGAACGTGGGGCCCTCGTTACATGTGATGTCAGAGCACTTCAGACTTGAATGGCTCGACTGGACTGTGTTGCCTTTACACCTCCGACAGCAGGAAAACACGAAAGTCATTCCACAATGAGCGTCCGTTGCAGTTGGAGTCTTGTCTTGCTTCGTAGTTGACATTTTTTACAAGTCGCTTTCAAGAGAGTGAGTCAGGGGGAACAGATGCCTCCTTTGCTTTCACAACTGAGAGCATCAGTATCACTGCCATAATTGGAAGGTCGAAGAGCTCACTTTTCATCGCTTGGACAAAAGAAGGAGGAGTCGCGAGAGGAAATACGGTGTGGGCAGCCAATGAGGAGCACAACTCCTCCTGCGCTCTCCCCCCTTGACTATTTTGAACGGGGTGCCCTCTTCACTGGCTGGTCTTCTCCGCCGAGTCGTGCGTGAAGAGACACTGGCGGGTGTGTGCTCGTGTGTGCGGTTTGCGCGCGTGGAGCCGAGAGGCTACCGGGACATGTCACAGTTCACTCAGGGAGTCTGAGGATCAAAACAGGTAGAAGTGCTCAACAGCGTACCCGAGATGAGGACCCATTGTGATATGTTGTTTTTGTTGACCCTGTGTGTGGTCTACTCTGATGCTTGGTTTTGGTCCTGGACCGGGACCACCACTCCGGCCCCGTTAGCGGATCACGAGGGCTCGGGCACTCCCGCGGGTAGTGGGGAAATACCAGCTGAGAGTCTTGCAAGTACTGGGCCGGAGATCATGGAAGACCGACGTGGACGTGGTCAGCAAAGTGTGGAGAGGACTTGGCAGGAGACGACCGAAGCTCTTCAAGTGCTTACAGTTGCACCCACAGTGGAGCTTGAGCGTACATCAGCCTATGGCACGACAGAGATCTCACCCAGGACAAGTAAACCTGGTCATGAAACGTCTTCGCTAACAGGTACGCCTCTTGGGGGATCTAATCATGAAGGTCTTACAGGAAATGTCGAGCCCGCGTATGGACGTTCGAAATCCGCTCTTTTGTCTGAATCTGAATTTGCAAAAACAGAGGAAATTCGTGGGGCGTCTGAATTGGAAAAGCCAGGCTCTTTTGTGGGAAAGCCCAAAAAGTCGTTCAGTCGTGGCTTTGACAGTAGGGACAGTGCACACTCTGAAGTGAATGATCCGAATTTTGCCAAAAGTGTTCGTACTCGAGGTCGTAGTGGGACTGAAGAAAGCAATCATCTCGCTGGAGGTCGCTCGAGTCCCACCGTGTTGAATCGTCAACCACATACAAATGACACCAAATCAGAGGCAAGAGTTTTCGCCCTTACCACCCAAGGCCGGCTCACGACTCAGGCATTATACGAGCCAGTCTGTCAGACCTCGCCATGCCGTGACACAAACATGGAAACGCAGTCCAACTTTTGTAGCCGCTGAGAGTTGGACACCAGCAAAAAGTGACCAAGGTTTTGCGAAACCACAGATGATTGCTCAAAGCCCACGTTGCTTATTGGTGTATCCTGCTCTTCCATTCTGCTCCTCCGTGGCTGGCGAAAGCTTTGTTGTGCCAAATCATCTCAACCAGACCAGCTCGGACCAAATCCAAGCCCTCCTGAAGGACTGGGCTTGGCTGTTGAGGTCAAATTGCCACCGCGGTTTGGAGAAGTTCTTCTGCCTTCTGTTGCTGCCCAAGTGCGGCTCTCCAATGACGGTATTGCCTTGCCGAAGCTTTTGTGAAGGTTTAGGGACAGTTGCTGGATGCTCCTGGATGGGCGACGCCTCCCCGTGGAGTGCCAGCGAGTCCCAGAAGAGGACGACGTTGGCTATCGGTGCGTGTCGATTTTTAATCGCAAAGGTAACGACTGGCTTGAATGAATACCGATTTTGGCATTGATTTGAACCAGGTTTCAAAACCTCAACCTCCCCAGCTTGTCTGCGATTATAACCCAATATTCACACGCTTCCCAGAAGATGCATGATGGAAACATTTTGTTGGAAGTCATTTTTGTTCTGCTGGTTCTGTGTGCATCTGCGGGTGGGTGTCTTGGCTGTTTGGAAGTGAGGCCGCTTCATTCGTGTTTGAAATATTAGCTCCGGATGAGGCGTCCGGGTTGATCTATGGCAATCACTTTTTTGTCATCACTTTGGTCTTTGTGGCGTAGTACGTAAATTCCATTTCTAGGGTTGGGTTGATTGAAGACCCTCATCTTCACCACATGGAAGGTATCTGCTGGTTGGGGGTCATGAGTGCCGCTCATTACAATTTAGAGGTGGATCATGATTCAGACCATTGATGCCAGTTGACTGATATTGGGTTGCTTTTATTTTGGGGGGGGAGGGTGTAATGGCAATTTGACATATAACAGCGCTAAATGGAAGTAGCTGTTTGTACTATTGCATGCTGACCAGTTATATTGCGGATAAGCAAAGTTGCCTGCCCATGTACTATTCTGTACTCTGTGTAGCTCCTGAAAATGCTGATTGCGCTGACCTTCACCACCTCCCAACAAGATAAAATGAGAGCACAAGACGCGGAGGGGTAGAAGACTCCCTTGACAGATCTGTGAACGGTGTCCCTCCATGTTTTTTTCTTTTCTTTTTCTTTCTTAAATAAAGCTCATCATTTTTTCTAAATACTTTCGTTGTCTTGGTTTCCCTGGACAAGACAAGCGGCAAATATGCAATCTACTTGAGTAGAGTCTGTTTCTGTGATGAAGATGTGCCTCCTCTGCGAGCATTCGCACGGCCCCGCCTTCCTCCTTCACTTCATATCAGTGAGTGTTCATGAGGGGCTTTTTACAGCGTCGGTATCTTTGTGACGCCTCGCCGTGCTGACAGACCGAGCGGTCAGTCTGTTCCTCATATAAGACCGCTCAAGTTTGGCAAGACCCGTTGGTGTTGTCCGAAAGGTCTGTCAACGTCATTGATGACTGAGATGGAAACGTCCAAATTCAAGTTTTGATTTTGATAGCAGGTATTGCTTCACTCTCAACAGCACTGTCGATGTGAGGAGGACGTTGTCGGCTTTCGGGCCTTAATAAGCACTTACCACGACATCATTTAATTATAGCCTATCATGGAAGAATGTAACCCGATAGGCTTACCTTTTTTGGGGGTCGACAACTATATCGTGGGGCCACCGAGCACAAACATCAAACATTTTTTGATCAGTCAGTTTGTGGCAGATGTGGGAGCGTTATGAGCGCAACAATATTCAGCCATATGTTTAGATGGAATCTGTGAATGTGATCCGTTTCCTCTTGGGGGGGCTGTAAAACAGGATGTTTAAGTAACCTGAGCCTTTTACACGATTTTTTATGTGGTGTCTAGTGTGTTTGAAAGATGGGAAGTTCCTCAGATCTTGCTCTCAAGGTACACGTTCACCTTCCCGAAGCGGAACACTTTATCTTGCTCAATTCAGTCACCAATCTTTTGGTATTAAACGTGAAAGGATTATTGCCTTGATCAGCAGGTGGCCACCATATTTTCAATTCGGACTCTGTAAAAGCGCAACTCTGCCGCTGCTGCAAGCTTTTCTCAAGGATTCTGCGCCATTCCGACGCCGGATGCATGCACTCTCGCGCCGCAGGCATCTTTTCTTCACTTGGTGGAGCCCCATCTTGGAATGTTGTCAGAATAGGAAGAGGCTTTATCGCCAAGACAAACGAGCGCCATAAACCTGGCACGACCCCATTCAGTGACCTTGGGCCTGTCATTGGTTAACAAAGGTTCTTGAGAATGCAAGAATGTGGTGAAAACGCTTCTCCTCACAAGGTCGTGCCGCCCTGGAAGACATAGATTGGGCTAAGATGTGTTTTGACTTTTGCATCTGCGTCTTTGCTGGTGCTGCGGATCCATCAATGACATTTATTTTTACGCCTTGTTGACAAAAAGAACAAATTGTCGGATCGTGGGGCCAATGGTATCGCTTGATAACAGCGGAAAAGGATTTTTACTCTCCTGTTCAAGCTTGACTTGATCCAAAAATTTGCTTTTGGAGCTGCACGCGAGTATATTGCGACTCGTGTCGAGGGCAATTGAGCGCAAAGCGGGACCGCCCAGCCGGGCCGAACGCCTCGTGTGTTTAGGCTCTCAAAGAAAGCCCACCGCCGGCTCCGCTGATCTCCCGCCCTCACAGCGGCGGGGAGGCTTTGAACCCGCCGACGGAGCTTGAAGACGAGTCGCCGGGCGGTAAACCAAAGCTTGTCTTCAAAGGAGGAGACAATCTTCAAGTGATGTCCCGGAGCAGCATGTTTTGGGAAAACACGGGGAGGCATCACTCCTTGTAACGAGTAAAAGACGTTTGTTTGAAGTCTCGATGTCAGACACGTCCACGCCATGCTCGCTAAATATTTTGTTAGCTTAAGCCCGCTTCATTTCTGATGTCTGAAGTCACCAGTCACCCAGGGAGATGGAGGAATGAGGTCATGCGCGCAAGGGGCCTCCGCTGATGCACTCTGAACAATGGCGCCATGTCGTTCAGTCGATGTTGCGCCAAATCTGGGGACTCATTTACTTAAGTCTCGAGGCAACGTGTTTGCACAAAAGTGGACTGAGGATGTCAGATGCAAGCGCTGCATTTTCTTCGGAACAAGTCAGCCGGCAGTCTCCTGTGTTTGTTTGCATGACTTGAAAAGTTCCAGGAACAAAAGCCGTTTGACGTTGCGTTTCTGTGCCCCGCAACATGGAACCTCTCAAATGTAAAGCTTTCGGCTTGACTGCAGCTAACCTCATCTCTCTCTCTCTCTCTCACTGAAACCAATCCTGATATTGACGTGAGCCTGAAAATCCTCAAACATGCCTGCAGTCTCGTTGTTAAAATTGTTCCGGTCGTGTTTGTTCCTCCATCAATATGGTTCAATATTTGGTTGAGTTTGCAAAACCACCTTGCGTCCTGACACAATTCCACCACAATACCAAAACGCTTGATCCTAACGTTGTGCCCTGCCATGCTGCCCTCCCCTTTTAAGAAGGCTTTCGTGCAAATTGTGGGCTCACTTGGTTATTTTATTTTATTTATTTTTTATTTGTAGAAGACAGCGGCGTCTCCCTGCTGCAGCTGATCGGGGACCCTCCTCCGAATGAGATCACGCGAGTTTACGGGCCAGACGGCAGTCCCGGCTACGTGTTTGGCCCCGACGCCAGCACGGGCCAGTTGGCCCGCGCCCACCTGCCGAGTCCATTCTACCGGGACTTTTCGCTCATCTTCAACTTGAAACCCACGTCGGATCGGGGCGGCGTGATCTTCTCTGTCACAGACGCCACGCAGCAGATCATGTATGTGGGCGTCAAACTGTCAGCCGTGCAGGGCGGCAACCAGAACGTGATCCTGTACTACACCGAGCCCGACTCGGAGACGTCATACGAGGCCGCCAAGTTCCTCGTACCCTCTCTGAGGGAAAAGTGGACCCGTTTTGCTATCGCGGTAAAGGATGACAAGGTCAAGTTCTACCTGAACTGTGACATCGATCCTCAAGTGAAGCGCATCGAAAGGTCCCCCGATGAGATGGCGCTGGAAGCTGGCGCCGGCGTCTTCGTTGGGCAGGCTGGAGGCTCGGATCCCAGCAAGTTCCTGGTATGTATGAAAGATCTTGTGTCAGAATCCGGGATTCTAAACGTGAAGGACGGTCATGGCCGCTCTGCGCCGGAAATAAAATGAGCTTGTCGACAATTGAGATGTGCCACTGTAACATACAGTCGAACCTCGTTACGACGTACCTCGAAGGGTCATCACGAATCTGTATGTCAGAACGGGAGTTCGTCATCAAAAAGAAAAAAACTGTAAGGTGACTGTTTATCAGTGGTTTGAGGATCATTCATGTGACATCTCCGTCCAAATTACCCCATGGGGAAAAATAAAGTTTTCTGAATCTGAATCTGAACATCTTCATAAATCAGTTATCGAGCACAAAGCGGACAAAAATATTTTGCTTCTAAAATTCACTTATCTTTATTCACTACTGTATTTTGTAGATAAATTATTTTAATCATAAATGTTTTATTTATATCTTCAAACATAGAGAAAAGTTCCATGTTGAATAATGGGGATTTTTTTTTTGTTTTTTTGTCATGTCACGGGCCGCTGAAAAATGGAAGATGGGCCAAAAATGGCCCCCAGGCCCTAAGTTTGGACACCACTGGTTTAGCAGATAGTGGATAGTTTTTTTTAAAGGCTTCAAGCTTTATCATTTCCACTCCCAGTTGAAGTCTAGCATCAAGCTAAACTTAAGAAGTTCACAACCTGTATTTAAGACCAAATTTGTTTTTCAAAAGCTTGCTTCGCGAACACACAATGCACAACGCCATAGTCAGGCGAGCGAAGGGCAATCAGGGAGGCGGTACGGTATATAACTAAGGGCAAGTGTCTCATCACATGCCTAAAACGTGTCTCTCATTGTCTTGAACCAAAAGCAACTTTTGGTGTCGCCGCCAGCCCCGGCGCTGGTTCACGTCGATTTTGAAGCGCGCGAGACTTTGCAGCTGAATAGCTCATTTGATTTCATTGCTCAAATTAGCCTGATCCAAAGCATCAGACCACTGTTCTAAATCACCCCAGCAGCCCCCCGCGCCGAACATTGTCTGCAAGAAGTAATTGGATGTCCTCGGCGCGAGCATATAATGGATGTCTTTCATTTGTCTGTAGCAAATCACCTCATTTGACCCGGCCATGTGCATGAACTCAGTTGTTCGGCAGTTACTCTTCCGTTGTGCACCCAAAGGTGGACTTTCAGCGAGTTCAGTTCAAGTTCATTCCTCTGAAAAGTGAATGGCTGAAAGAGTCAGGTTCTATTCAGATTCCCATTATCCTCAGGAGAAAGTCAGAGTGTTACAAAGTTGATTTTGATTTTATTTTTTATTTTTTTTCCTCTGTGGATCATTTTTTTCACCTCATGAATGAATTCAAGTCAATTCAAATTTCTGTGGTGCGCGTTTGTCATTGTTGGCATTGATCACGTAACGTACAGTTTTTTTGAAGCCATGCGTGACGGAGTGTGCCGTGGATTTCCTTTTTCGGTCCTCGTTTTAGTCGTCTGTGATATTTTGCTGTGACTGGATCATCATCAAGCGTCAAAGCCTTGTGCGCCTGTCTTCTTCCCAGGGTGTGATCAGCGAGCTGAGGGTGGTGGGAGACCCCCGTGCCGCTGAAAGGCACTGCGAAGACGACGACGACGACGAGGACTCAGACATGGTGAGCGTTAACGCCAGCCGACTATTTCATGTGCCATTTTATGTCACATTTCATATACAAGCGAAGCTACAACTGAGGCCAAATCCTCATCAAAGCGTTTTGCAGCATGTCTTTGGACAAGTATCATGGAAATGAAAATAACAAGGCCAGAGTGAAGCCAAACATTGCACTTTCTGAACAGGCTATTTCGTCTTTACAGTATTTTTATAGCAACACTGCCACCTAGTGTACAGTCAGAGAACATAAAGTGCCTACAGACACCCATTTCGCTCACGATCAATCCAGCCGGTTAAGAAAGCTGGCTGTGCTGGATGGCCCTCGGTACCCGCCCACCATGCTGATGGCTAGGATTTCGAAATGTTTTTATGATAATTATCTTCGTAACTATTTTTGTGTTGTGAAATACGAATGCTAATTGCTTATCACTAAGACGTTAAAAATATAAAGAAACAGTGATGTCATTTTTGTTTGATGAATGGCCAATCTTATCTGCAATTTCTCAGCCTTTTGCATCAACTTTTGCAACATTCTAGTCGGCGTTGACCACCCAGACTCACACACAGGTGCCTCATTGCAGGCCGCCAATGAGCTTGTTTGATCAAACATGATACACACACACACACACACACACACACACACACACACACACACACACACACACGCCCCACAACCATTTGGAGCACTAAACGCAGCACTTGAAGGTCTAAGGAAGGGCATGTCGAGCGAGCTTCACATGTTGTTTGTATTAGATCGCGTGGGGGTAGGTGGGGGGGAATCACATTCCGAGCGGAAATGACAGGCTTGGGATTTACAGGATGTTTCTTTCATTGACTCCCAGCTGTTTTCCAGGAGAAGCAACGTGTTCCACATCGTGACTTTCAAAACTCTCTCCTGTCTGGCAGGAGCGTCTTATCGCAGCAGTCTGCTCGCACATCATTTTAGAAGCAGTTGGGAGTGACAGTGGCAGCTTCCATTTTAGCATTATGAAGAAAAAATGCTCGCTATCACCGTGGGGAAAAATGCATAAGCATAGAACCTACCAAAAGAAGTATTTAACGCTCTTCTTTCATCAAGGAAATAAAAGCACAATTCTACTTTTGACCATTCTTGAGTAAACAGCAGTGGAGCATTGGTAAACTCGTTTCCAAGGAAAATTCTGAGAAGAGCTTTTTGTGATTTCAGGCAGAACTTTCACTTTGATGCTATTTTTTTGCATTTGTGATACCTCAAAGATCTAAATAACGCTTTCCTACTAAATAACAACATAAACAAACAAAACACAGTTTATTGCAAGAAAAACACTGCACTGATGCATGAACTACGCATGAACTTTTCATGGACGTTGGACGTTATCCATTTTCTCACCACCACACTGCTTTCGCACGCCACCTGGCCGCGTGGGATCGGGCACTGGATTTTACACACACACACACACACACACACACACACACACACACACACACACACACACACCATGTGTGGACCAAGATCTGATCAAAGCTGCATCTGCCATCTAGTGGTGATTTATCATACTGACATTATTCCCACAGCCTCGATGTGTGAAGCCCTTTTTTTTTTGTTTGTTTTGAATTTTAAAAATGTACGCTTGTTTTTCTCAGACTTCAGGAGAGGGAAGTGGTGATGCGGAAAGCAGACCTTCTAAACCAGCCGTAGAAAAACACACATGGACGGTAAGGACCCATTTTCATTTGGTATGGAGAAGAGATGAAGAGCTGAATTAGATCAAATAAAGCATTCGTCTCCTTTACAAATGATAAATATTATTTTATAATGATTGGTTGCAGATGGCAATTCTGCTCACGACTTTGACATTGAGGGTGGGTTTATCAGTCGATCATAAGCACGAAACTGAAAGTTACTGTAGCACTGGATTTCTCAAAAGTAAATTTGCCTCAAATTCAATCTTTTGGGATGACCATAGTCATCTTGACTGCGAATTTTTTGCAAGCACTTTGGCATTCTATATTGACATTGTCACAGTGAGTACAAAAAGGCTTCGCAAATTAGGCAGCTTGAAACCCATTGCAGCAGACATGGTGGGCGGGGCTTGCCGCGCCGCCAGAAGTCTTCCAGTCTGGACATTAATGACTGTGCATTGATAGGCTGTCACTTTTACAGGCGGGTTTTCCCTCCGTCCAAAATGTGTTTATTCGCGTCATAATCAGCACAGGTTGCGTTCAAGGCAACAGCTGGTACCGAATACCTGGCCAGCAATTTTTCCACATGTCTGTTCACAGGCATTAGAACCGATCCAGTCTGTACAACTCAGACGTGTCGGGGCAAAATGCAAAGTTGAAAGGGCAGTCAAGTGAAACTTTCCATTTTGGCATGCAGGTATTTGTTGGGAGGATCACACGCTTGTGACATCGTTGACAATGTTGTTGAAGTGTCCACCGCAAGAGGAAGGCCTCCCTCCCATTTTTTTTAAAGGGGTGCAGGGGGTGAATGAAGTGAGAAATATTATGGGAAAAAAAACACACTGAGTGTGAGCATGGTTTCATGTCTAATGAGGACCACCACATATTCATGATTTGCCTTGAGATTTGCAAACCTCCACCAAGGCCAAACCGGGATTTCTGTCACCAAGGAAACTGGATGTGTGCTTTTAAACTTTGGAGGTCATATGGTTCAGCTCTGCCAGTCGGCACATGGAAGGGCCCCCTACTTACTGCATGAAGAATGCATGGATGAGTCGCTTATCATGTTAGTAATTGTGTGTCAAGCTTTGTCATTAATTGTTATGTGGAATTCTTAGTGTAGCCGTTGCTACGCGACACAGTGGGGGTGGGGGGGGGCAGCCTCTGAGAAGACAACTGGTTAATTATCAACTTGGTGTTGCCCCCTTGGGCTGCATGCGCATTCTTTGCAGGTGACACTCAACTGTGTCATCGGTCAAGAATGAGCTGTCTGTCTGTGTTTGGGAAGCGGGGGCCAGGGGCAAGGGGGCCGCAAGGCTCCATAATTTCCACAAAGGAGCCAAAATGAGTCATCGGTTGCTTCTGTTGCTGGCAGTGCTGCCCTTGTGCATTTCGGGGTTGTTTACATGAGGCTGATTTAAATTTCTGCAAAAAGTTTTGTTCTTTTTTGGTTTCGTTTTGTGTTTTTATGTTTGCTGCAGCAAAGTGTACATGTACGAAATTGTCACTGGGGTGACTGTATTGCATTGCAGTGATGGGAATAAGAAACTTCATGAAGCACTTGTGATATGTTTTGACTCCTCTAGATGGTGCTCTTGTTTTATACATCAAGGGTAGTGCAAATATTCCGCCGCATCTTTACACCAAGAGTGCCATCTAGAGGAGTCAAAAACTATGACAAGTACTTCATGACGCTTCAGTTGGCCATCACTATCGGTTCGTGTACCCTGACTGTATATGAGTCGTATGATCGAAGCATTAGGACAAACTGTACACGGGACATCGTCGGGTGAACGGTGATGCGGTTGTTTGACTGCGGCAAGGCTTCGTAATATTTATAATTAAGGATTAGCTTTAGCAACAGGTGGATTTTTTTTTTCCTGAAACGTCCTAAGCTATGAATGGCAACACATCTGCATTGTGAAAGCTTTCACGAGTCAAACTTAAAGACACAAAAAAAAAAAAAAGAGAGAGAGAATATCTGAAAATCTGGCTGTGCTGGAAAAAAAGTCAAGCCGCATTCACAATCTACCCTTTAGGGACACATGAAGCCATGTCTGATTCAAATGAGGTCATTCATTCAAATCAAGGGAGCCGAGGACCTGACGAGACGCTCCACAGAATGAATTGTCATTGCTTGATCGAAGGCCTGATCCCGTTTGTCTGTCGCCACCAGACGGCTCCGCCTCCTTTGAGGCCTATTCAGCAACCACCGGTCGCCAGGCAAGAGGAGACGTCGACTGTGAGACACACAGGTGAAGCGCGTCCTCGCACGACGACGCCCAAACCTTCACGAGAAGGCAACATTTCTTCACATTGACCCTCGCGGCGCACGCCGGACTGACTTAGTGGCAAATCTCTCCATCTAGTGGGCATGACGATTCTTGCATGTAACCCTTGAGCAGATTTTTCAAACACGAGGCCGAAATACTTGCCAGGATCGGGCCCGAACCCCTAAAATGTTTCGAATGGCAAATTTTAATAGTTTACACCGCAAGCTGGGATTCCAAAGCACTTGAACCTGACTCCGCACCCATCTTGCAACATTACCGCTGAAAATAAATCGCTCACAGACTACTTTGTAAGAAACACTTCAACATCTTGTTTTCTGCTCGATTATAGCAACATCTTTTTTCCCGTCTCAAGATCTTGTGCAGCCCAAGTTTACGGTGTCCGATGTGATTGTCCCATCAGGCTCCATCGGGGCCAAAGGAGAGAAAGGAGAGCGAGGAGAGAAAGGGGACCGCGGCGTGGCGGGCCCAAAAGGAGAGGCCGGTTACAGCACGGCAGTGAGCTCGCAGGGCGGTGCTCGAGGGGGAAAGGTGGGATCATGCCATCATTCAGGCATTCTTTGATATAAGTATTTGATCGTTATTGTAATTCTGATGATTTTCTACACGTGCTTCAAACCAACGACAGTGTTTTGAATGTGAATGCTTTGTAAAAGTGTTGGATGGAATTGAGGATGAAACATTTTAAAGCGTGATGCAGTGTATATGTATAAATAATCAATCCAAAGCAACTACTATTCCGTATATTTGCTTCACTGTCAATGCTGTTTTCTTCTTCATTTTTTTCAGGGGGAACCTGGAGAAAAGGGAGCGAAGGTGAGTCGAATCTCCGCTCCGTACCACCTTTTTTCTCACGTGCCCGGGACTAAATGTGTCTCAGGTTCTTCGTCTCCTCACCACAACAAGTATTTGTCATTTGCTCTCTAGGGCAACGCCGGATTTGGCTACCAAGGAAAGAAGGGAGAACCCGGCCCCCCCGGCCCACCGGGGCCTCCCGGGTCTGCGGGAATGCCATCGGACGTCTCTGTGTGCCAAGACGGCTCCGTTGCTTCCTGCGTCCCGGGTGCTCGAGGACCACCCGGACCACCGGGTGTCCCTGGTGCCCAGGGACCGCCGGGAGAGGACGGAGAACCAGTTAGTGCGCCGTCTCCTGAATATTTCTCAAGAGAATCGATTTGGGGGGACGCATGGGGAAATCCTCTACTTTGCAGTCCAACAATGTACCAAAAAGCAGTTGAACGCAGATAAGTATGAGTTGTGAAACGGAAGGATAAAATTGCTCCAAGTGGACACTGGAAAGCTGCTACGTCAGTGCTTCCTGTTAAACAGTGGTGGGCGATTCCAGTCCTGGAGGGCCGCCGCCGTCCTGCATGTTTTCCATCGCTCCCTATTGCAACACACCGAATTCAAATGACAACAAACTATTTTCAGACACGCAATGAAAGACTCATTTTTAATGGTCTTTTTTATCGGGCCAAATGATGTGCGGCGCGGAAAATGATCTGGACCGCTATGTTTTGTGTCATTGCACAGGGCGATCCCGGTGAAGACGGCAAACGAGTGAGTTGCTTTGTCCAAGGCGTGCGGCATATTTCGCCCCTCGCTTTGCATGGATCGACCCCCCCTTTGAACTTTGAATCCCCTTTTCACCACGCAGGGTGTTGATGGACCCCCGGGCTTCCCAGGAACCCCTGGAGATCCCGGAACGAAAGGAGAGAAGGTGAGATGAGCGGCGACCGAGTGGACCCGGCGTCCGCGCCGTCGGTAATAACGTTGAGTAGAAACTGGAAATCTCATGGGAGCGATGTACGCAGGGAGAGCGCGGCGATGGTCAGCCCGGTGCCAGAGGGCCACCGGGTCCTCCCGGACCGCCGGGACCAGGAAGCAGATCTGTGAGTCAAGCTCCAGTTCCATGCTGAGGAAGTGACAATTGGTTGGACGGAACTGTGTGCCATGGATGTTTTACTTTTTTTCAGACTTACGTGGACATGGAGGGCTCAGGATTCCCTGATCTGGAATCAATTCGGGTCAGTGCGGTACCAGCGCAATACGTGAAAGGATACACAACGGAACGTGTCGAATTGTTTAGCTTCTTTTTTTTCTTCTTGAGTCATTAACAGTCGAACTTGGCTTGGTTTTACCAAAAACAGCAGTTTCTGAGCAAAAAGTACAGAAAATGAGCTTTTTTTTTTTTTTTTTTTTTTAAAGAAAAAAAAAAAAAAAAAAAACACACACACACACACACACCTAATGTCACTTTTTTTTTTAAAGGAAACATGACGGTGACTCTGAGAGTAATGCATTTTTTCTTTTTCACTATTGTGACGGCTCAAACTATAAAACCATGAAGAGAAAAGGCTTTTGATGGTTTAAAAAAAAAATCATTTATGTACACACATATGACGACATGTGCTCTGTTGTGGTGTGAGGTGCCCAAACCTGTCTGACTTTGAAAGTGTTGGCGTTTCTCTCCCTCATAATCGAGGTGATGAGCAGAAATTCACTGCCTAATCTTCATCATCTACTCAAAAGCTGTGCTGGTCTTCAATCCAAAGCGATGCAACGCCGGCCTCTATGGGGATCGGTTAGTCATGACAGTGGTTGACAAAGCTGAATTTCACCGACAAGCTGGGCAAGACCCAACTCCACGTACTTGACAAACACAATATTTGTCGAAAATACTCAACAATTGGGTTCATGTTCAACAATGGACTATGATGGCCTGCTTTTTTTTTTTCCTGACATGCTTCACTTGTTGTTTGGTGTTTGTTTTTGTTTTAGGGCCTGCCAGGGCCACCGGGCCCAGCGGGCCCACCAGGTCCACCTGGGGTTCCCGGTGTTGCTCCACCAAACACAGCTTTGAGCTCGGGAGCAATCGGACCACCGGGACAAGATGGGGCACCTGGTCAACCTGTAAGTGGCAACGTGACGCTTTCAGAATTGGTTTCCACGTTGGTTATGATGATCCACCCGTGACCTGAGTTTCTGGCCCACAGGGCTTGCCCGGTCTACCGGGTGTCGATGGCCAACCGGGAGCGCCTGGCCCAAGGGGAGAAAAGGTCATTTCCTACACGTTTACATCGATGCCTCCATTTTTAGCACATTCGATCTCATGGTAGCAAGTCGCCACTGCATTCAACCCATTTTTTTTTTTTTTATTCAACATCTCATACAAAGTGATCACGTGAACATGATTTGTTCTATTTTGTCTTATTTTAGGGTGACTCTGGTGTGCTTGGTCATCCAGGACCAGTTGGACAGAAGGTGACCATTTCGCCTTTTTATGCATGAGACACGCAGTCAACTAAGTAATTGCATGTTTCGGCTTTTTTTTTTTCATTTTCCCATTTCCTTTTGTCCACCGCAAAGGGCGCTCAAGGAGAGTCCGGCTTACCCGGACCGACGGGTGAGCCCGGATTGGCTGGTTTGCCCGGACCAATGGGACCGGCTGGGCCACCCGGACCTCCCGGGCCTCCTGGACCAAGATACCGTGTTGGATTTGTAAGTTGTTGCCAAACAATACTTTGTGCTTGTATGACTGCATCTCATTGATTCGGATAAAAATGTAATTTTGAATTCATTACATATCCCTGCGGGTGCCACATGACACGACATGCCCCTTCACTTGTTGCTGGTTTTCGTTGTACTGCGGATCATTCGATATTTTGCAAGGAAAGCGAGCGCAAAAGACACAATGTCCGATGGCTGGGCTCGACCTGCCGACCGCCTCGACCGACGTGTTTGAGAACGGTGACGCCAAGTGGCCCAACAATAGTAATTGCACTTCGCAGAAAAATACTGATTTGATGGGAAATGTTGCTTTTCGCGAAGCTTTAGAAAACACAGAAATCATCCAATCGATACCTGATCGTTACTTCTCGGATTACCGCACAGTCGTGAGAGATTTGCTCGATGTGCAAGAAGGAACGCTTGAAGGTTTTGTTGCTGTTTGAAGGATGACATGGAGGGATCTGGTGGGATTTTCTCCAACGGGCTTCCTGGCGTCCGAGGACCTGAAGGAAGGCAGGTTAGTCGCTTGATGCATTTCAAAAAGGCATAAAAAGTCTCCGAATTGAGCGGCGCACCATCGGCCCAGTGTGCCCGCTCCCACTCGAACTGATTTGGGTGAATCAACCTCCCCAGTAGGAATCGCTGGTCTTACCACTTCAGGAATCGGCTCATAGTGACCGCTTCAATCAACGTATTCACTGCACGAAAATAGACAACCTAGATGCGAGGTGGAATGTTTTTCGGTCTGTCTAACTCAATCAAATGTGTGCTCTTAGGGTCCACCTGGCCTGCCTGGACTTCCAGTAAGTAACCGAGCACCTGATGCAGTCATCACATAATTGGGATGGATAGCGTCCATGCGGGAGGACAGCATGCCGTCCTAAAGTGTTCCCGCATTCTAAATTGAAGGCATGAATCCCCGCAGGGTAAACCAGGCTTGCCCGGCCTCGCCGGTCAGAAGGGCAGCGAGGGTCCTGAAGGAAGAGACGGGCAACCGGGATTGGACGGCTTCCCCGGAGTTCAGGTCTCGAACCCTTTTGATTGCTCTTGCGCTAGCTAGCACCTGCGTGGACATGCTACGACATGTATCGTTTGTTCCGAATTGCCTCCAATTTAGACCGTGACAAGCTTTTACAAACAATGGCTCCCATGAATCTTCTCATTTTGAGAACTGAACTGCCCTCTCACTGCTTCCAAGTGGTAACGATGAGGAGATCAGAAGCCGACAATCAGCAAATCCAAATTGCGCTAACGATGCAGCTCTGCTTAGCTTTTGGGTTTGAACTGGAATTGATTTTTGACATCTGCTGTCTGATTCTTGGATGTTACAGGGACCAAAAGGGGAAAGAGGGGACAGAGGAGAGAGGGTGAATATATAATTTTCACATGCTATTCGTATCTTGATTTTGTTCAATGCCAAATAGATCCCGCATTTGTTTGGATTCTTTTGGATCGAACGCATGGTAATCATTTCACACGTATGATTTGTTTAAGGGTGAACCAGGCCGCGATGGAAGCGGAGTTCCCGGACCGCCAGGCCCACCTGGACCACCCGGGCAAATCGTCTACCAATCATCGGACAACGTATTGCAAATTCCCCAAATGTTGCTGGCAAATATGCAGGAAATTTGCATCCTGATCTTACGTTTATTCTTTTTTCCTTTTTTTTTTTTGCTGCTACAGTTTGATGGTGTTGTTGGCAGTGTTGGACATCAGGTGTGTATTCAAAGTAAAATGTTCACAAGAGTGACTCGGGGTGGCAGGTGGTCAAGATGTGCCCTAACATTGGCTGATAATCAGTCCAGGGTGCACCTCATCTAATCAAATGTTTATTCTTTTTTTCTGGAAAGGGAGGACCTGGTGTGCCGGGTAGAGCTGGATTCCCTGTAAGTCCCTCAGTGACGACTTATTGGCTTCTCCCCAACGCTTCTCCCTTCCTCTATTATGGCGCACCTGGAGAAGGGATGTGGTGGCGCCCTGTTGGCTGTTAATGCATGCCTGTTTGCTGAGGTTTTTTTTTTTCCCCAAATCCAAACTGTGCTCCCATTCCAGGAGTCCAGTCTGGGCATGAATGACTGTTTCAAAGTGCTCTTGAGGAAGGAGAGGCTTGACTTTAACCAGCAAATAAAGCTATAGTGATTCTCATTCTGATGTCAACACACTCTAATTGTATTTCTGTGGTCCCGTTAGGGTCCTATGGGTCCAAAGGGCGACACGGGAGATCCCGGACCTCCAGGTTTTGGCATCAAGGTACGGCCAAAGCTTAATGCTGCGCTTAGCCTTGGTTGTGGAGCTAATGGCGGTTCTCTCCGCAGGGCGAGAAAGGCGAGCCCGGTCTGGTCATCGGCCCCGATGGGGGGCCCCTCTTTTCGGCGGGGCTAACGGCTTTCAAAGTAAGCATCGGTGCATTTGACAGTCGGCATTTGTCTCGAGTGAGGTTTTGCTTTGCATTTCTGACATTGCTACTGTGCCGTTAGGGAGATCGAGGCCCTCCTGGACCGGTGGGACCCCCTGTAAGTATTTGCGCAATTTTCAAATATCAACAACAATCCTTTCCAAAAATGTCAAACGTTTGTTCTGCTAGCCAGCAATAAGTCACGTCTATGGATATGTTTTCCACGTAGGGACAATATGGACCTCACGGAATTAAGGGTGAAATCGGAATGCCTGGGAGACCGGTAAGTAAAGTCCGGTGGTTTTGGTTTTTGTTTTGAATGGCATCTGGACACAGCCATTCAAAGAAATGTCACTTCCGTTAGGGTCGGCCTGGTGTAAACGGTTACAAGGGGGAGAAAGGAGAGCCGGGCTCTGGCTTTGGCTACCCAGTAAGTCACTTTTCAAGCCATTTCATGAAGATTTCTCCGGTTGAGATAGACAGTCTGACTCTTTTCAACGTTCTCAATTCTAATCCATTCAGCACATTTATTGTCCAACCAACACTTTTGGTTGGTCTGTGATTTGGCCCCGGTTAGCTCAATCGGGAGACTTGTTAAATACAATGTATGAGTCTCCTTCTTTCATCAGGGGGTTCCTGGCCCGCCGGGACCACCAGGGCCACCCGGACCAGCCGGACCCTACGATCGCTTCAGCGTGAGTTTACCAAACCCGTTGAAGCTACAACCGGCTCACTAAATCGGCTGTCTAAGGTCAATCTTGTGCTGTGTGTCGTTCACAGCACTATGATGGAACCTCCAGGAACTATCCAGGTACTGGATGAGCCCTTTGCCAGACACGCATGTCAACGGACTGGCTGCATTTCAGTTATTTAGCTCAAACTGTGATGTCACGTTTTTTTGTTTTTTTTTAAGTAGCTTACAGAACTTTTCAGGAACAGGCAGCTAAAGATGAACTTGGTGATTTGTTTTAACAATGGTGGGTGGGCAAGCGCCCCGGGGGAAGGGGACCCAACTATTTGCATACAAGACATTAAAACATCAATTTCCCACAAGAATGTACATCGGGGGTGTCCAAGGTTTTTGGTTTCAGGGGCACCTACAGAAAAATGGAGGGATGAAAGGGACACTTTTAAATTCTTCCACTTTTTGACAAACGCTAAAGTCAGTCAAAAGCAATTATTGATTGTTTGTATCGTCGAGTTCATGTCATCAGCTTTCTGCTCAAGCCGTTAAGGCAAATTGTTGAGGATTTATATTTTTTTTGTGGGGGGGCAACAGCCCTCTGTCTCACAGAAGAGATCTTTTGCGGCAGTCCTCGTGAGGTACATTATATGACGGAAGTTAAAAATGAGCAGGTTCTCTCATTAGGCAGGCTTAAATGCTCCTGTCAAAGAAATAAGATTTAAGAAAGCTTTAAAGTTTCTGGAGACAAAAACGTTCCTCATTTCAGCTACTTTCAGGTAGCTTCGCCTGAGGATTAATCCGTCGAGTCTTACTAGATTTGAGAAAGGAGCCGATAAAACACAAAGTACGTGACGGTGGGAAATAGCAATGCCAAAGTCAGCTCACCCGTGGAGTTCTCTCATGCTGCGGTGTTTATGTCTTGTTTTACGACAGCAATCAAAGGAGAAAAGGGTGAACGCGGCCTTCCGGGCGTTCCCGGTAAATCCTTGATTTTATATTCAGATTAGAACATTCTTGATGACCGCCTCTTGTGCTCGTTGGTGTGTTCACCAAAATGCATTCTTGTTCACAGGAACGGGCTCCAATTTTGATCTTCACACACTCAGGGTAAGCGCGCAAACTCAAGGTTTGGGATCTGAGCCATCGACCTCATTTCAGCTCTGTAGTAGAGCGATCAACAGGTCAGCATTTAAGGCAACGCTATGAGAATGCTGAACTCGTTTTGTTTTTTTGTTTTTTTAACAGAATGACCTAAAGGGAGAGCATGGTGACCCGGGAATGAAGGGAGAAAAGGGGGAACCCGGTGGCTATTATGAGCCTCGATTTGGAGGACCTCTAGGCCCACAAGGGCCTCCTGGCAAACCGGGTTTACCAGTGAGTTGGAGAATAGGACGTGAACGTCCCCCATGTCACGCTCGAGATGGATTGTTCAGGTGCTTTCTTTGCATTAGGGTCCAAAAGGAGATTCTATCATGGGTCCACCCGGACCTCAGGGTCCAGCTGGTCCAGCAGGGATCGGTTATGATGGCCGCCCAGGTCCTCCAGGACCGCCCGGACCACCCGGACCGGCGACATCCCCCTCGCTGCCCGGCGCCTTTTGGCCCAGTCAAAGTGAGTCGCTTTGGTTCTGCGCCTCGGTGCATCAAAATGTAGCAGAGGTGTGAAAGTGATACAGTCGAACCTCTTTTCAACGTACGCGGTTTACGTTTCCGCCTCTAGATGAAGTCGGAACACCACTACAACACTATGTCTTATAAAATCATTTTTTTGTCTTCATATACACAAATTTGCAATTGACATGTTTATACAGGATTACATGTTCATGTTTTTTACATCAGTAAATGTCTATACTCTATTTATGAGACATCGTAGTTGGTGGCCATTTAATTGGTAATGGTTAAACGAACTACCGTTACAACGTACGGATTCGTTATGTCCCTCGAGGTACGTTGTCACGAGGGTCGACTGTAGCAAAGCTGTCATGAAGTCGTTTCCTAAATAAGATCTTTCAATTGAAGCTGCCAATGTACCGGGACCTCCTGGTCCTCCTGGCCCACCCGGAAGTCCTGGACACTCATCTGGAGTAAGTCTTGGACCATTTTTTTTTTTCTTTTGGCTCCGTGAAGCAGCTCATTCGGTAACATACCAAAGCCAGTGCTTCGTTTGCCGCGCGCAGGTCACAGTTCTCAGGTCCTACGACACGATGCTCGCGACTGCCAGACGGCAGGCAGAAGGCAGCCTCATCTACGTCATCGACAAAGCCGACCTCTATTTAAGAGTCCGCGACGGACTGCGGCAAGTCATGGTAAAGTTCTTTTGCTGCATCTCCTGTCCTGTTCGAAAAAGCGTTTCTCGAAAGGTCAACTGTGAAGTCATTTTAGAAAATTGCGCACGATGGGATGACCGACTTGGTGCACGTATTCCCGCTAGCACCGAGAGCGCACGTCCTAGCGGGTTGGTGTCCTACATCGTCATTGCTAAGGTAGTTCTGTTGCATTGTCGGCCACCGCGCACATGATATCGGGAGCATTCTTAGTTGCAAACCATGAAAGAGGATTGCTTCCATGCACTCGTATAGTTTGGATTCTGAGAGTGACGTCCCTTGCCGGAGATTGAAAAGCATTTTCGTTGTTAAGCGCGATGGTCTCACGATGAACCTAGGTGGCTTGCGTGAGCATGCTTGAAATCATTTTAGCTCGTTTGCTCAAAAGATGGTTGGCAGAGTTTACTTCACCCTTGACCTTTAAACGACCACCGCATTCAGTTGTCTTGCCACAAAAGGGTAGAATCTGAAGTACCGGTGAAATCCAAATGTTTTTTTTTTTCCTTTTGCCACAGCTCGGAGATTACAACCCCTTCTTCCGAGATTTGGTGAGTCCGATGACCCGAAATGGACCGAGCTTAACCGCTCTCTTGAAACTCAATCGATCATTGTTTACGTTTCTTTCAAGGAAAACGAGGTGGCAGAGGTTCAGCCTCCGCCTGTCATCTTGTACCCGCAGTCCCACGACAACAACGGAGCCGGCCACTACTCCCAGAGCGTTTCCGACGTGCGGCCCATCCAGCCGCCGTCACGCCAGCCCGCGGAGCCCCTCTACCCTTCGCGTTATGATCCCAGGTTCCCAGACCGCAGGCAGTCGGGTCAGACGGACGGCAGACGGGCGACGGGACAGGCTGAGAACAGATACCCCGTCACTCCCCAACGACGACCCAGCCCACCTTTAGCGCAACCTGCGGTCCACGCGGACAAGTCAGCATCGGGGGTAAACGCTGCCGAGCAACCAGAGGCCAATCGTTTGTTTCTTTTCAAGGTCTTTGACCAACACGCGGATGGTTCTCTCTTTCGGCCGTTCTAGCTCCATCTCATCGCCCTGAACGCCCCTCAAAGTGGGAACATGCGAGGAATTCGTGGGGCCGACTTCTTGTGTTTCCAGCAGGCCCGTAGCGTTGGCCTGAAGGGGACCTTCAGAGCCTTCCTATCCTCCAAGCTCCAAGACCTTTACACCATTGTCCGCAGGTCGGACAGGGACACCTTGCCCATTGTCAACCTGAAGGTGAGACACTTGAAGGCGTCCAAAAACACTCCAAAAACGCAGGGGAAAGAAATCCTCTCAATGAGTCTTTGCCTTGCCACCTTCAACAGAAAGCTGAGGAAATGAAGTAGACAACACAAACAATCTAGAATTGCTTTCTTGTCCGACTTTAGCCTGTTTCAAAAAGTGGACGAATTCTGCATTTTTTTTGTAGGCGGCCCTCAAACGAAAAAGTTTTAAGGTCATATCAAACCCGTCTTACGGCATTATCCTTACCCACTCATGGCTTACAGTCAATTTGTTTTGGATTAAAAAGACCGCATCAGCTGTCAAATACAAACGCAATTTTTTGGGGGTGTTGGGGGGGGGGTGCGCTAATTCCAAATCTGCCTTCGTTTTTTTCTCTCACATATCAGATTTTGAAAGTATTTTTACTTCAACATTTTCCGTATTTAGTAATATAAAAATAGGTTCCCAACAGGAAGTGACTCCCGACCACTGTTCAGCAACCGCTAGAATGTTTTCTGAAACCTAAGAACTATAAATTACAATGCACGGCAAGGTCCGTATTGTGCAAGATTTTATAGGGCCAAAAGTGAAAATATCTCCAAAACCTGATGTGCTCGAAAAATAGTCTTTTTTTTTTTTTTTTTAAATTAAATCAGCGTCAAAAATATGTTGAGGCACACACACAAAGCCCATTAAAATTCTTCTGACGTCGGTAAAAGTCGCCGAGAGCGGGCAGGAAGTGTCCCAATAATAATCAGTACAATTCAGCACTCCCGACATTTTTGTTGATTTCCCTCCCATGCAGGATCAAGTGCTATTTGACAGTTGGGAATCCATCTTTGATGACAACACCGGGGAAATGAGGAGCGGCGTACCAATTTACTCATTCGATGGCAGAGACGTTCTCAGGGACAGCACGTGGTGAGTGTTCTGACGTCGACGGACGGCGAATGTCCCGCATGTCCTCACGCGCGTTGCCCGATCTACCGTCTGCGCTTCACCAGGCCCCACAAAATGCTGTGGCACGGCTCGAGCGACAAAGGTCACAGGCAAACGGACCACTACTGCGAAACGTGGCGGGCGGGCGAGCAGGCCGTGACGGGGCTGGCGTCGGACCTGCAGAGCGGCCGCCTCCTGCAGCGGCACTCCCGCAGCTGCTCCAACGCCCACATCGTCCTGTGCATCGAGAACGCCTCCACGTCACACTCCCAAAAATAAGGACCATTCTCCAGGTTGTCGTTTTGTTTTTTTGTATCATTTTAATTCTCACCTAATATTCTTTGGCGTCCAATGAACTTGCCCAGCAGCTTTTTTTTTTGGCCTGGCAGAGTGGCCTTTGCGTGGCAGGCTTCTTCCCTCCAAGAAGGCCAAAGAGATTGGGTTGGACGGAGGGTTCCTTTTGTCTCGAGGGCACATTTTATTTTCTTCTAAGGGTTGAACGAGCGTTGGAAAAAAAAAGTAAATATGTTCACAATTTGTATCCATTTTTTGTTTCACTCGCCATTCTCATTTATGCTGTGAGCGATTTTTACCTTTTCAAATGTTGTATCCATCCTGTTATGTGGGTTTTTTTTTTTTAATGTATTGATCATTTCCACTTTTGTTCCAATTTTTTTAGGGGTTTTTTTGGGGGGGGGGTTACTTTTGGGTACAGCAAAGACTATTTGAAATCTAAAGAAAATATTTATTTTTAGATGAAGTTATATAAGGACAAACAACGAGTTGAGTGAAAATACAGCTTGCCCAAATACTCCCAATTTATTGAGAATGTTTTTGTTTTTTTTTTTAATTCCAAAGGGGCTTTCCATTCCTGTGCCTTAGAATAAAAGCAGCCTGCTTTCCACGTAATAAGCGCGCATGCAGCAACGGACCGCTTCCCTTTTGATACCGATTTCTATTGTAGCCACGTGCTCTGCTGCTCCAAGTGCTTTCCCAGGCGGCGTTCGCCTTCATTGACCACCGCGTGCGGACAAAAACGACACCGAGGACCGTATTTCTTCAGTGAGATTTAACCACCAAAATCATTTACTTAACTGAGAGTGTACGGCAAGTGATTGACTCTAATCTGTGTTGAGATTTTGTATAAAGATTTTTTTTTAAATTTTAAAAACAAGCAATATTTTGTTTATAAGCCGACTTTAGTGCAACGGATGCGTGACTGAACCTGCGGTTTTCCTTCTTCATTTTCATCTTGAGCTGTACTGATCTTCAAGGCACTGAATAAACGCCACTGTAACAATTTGATCTCACTCGACGTTACTAAGCACAGATTTGGGGGAGGGGGCGGCTGGGGGTCATGTCGCGGGCCGCTGAAAAATGGATGGCGAGCCGCAAATGGCCTGCGGGCTCTAATTTGGACACACTGCTACTTAGCTTAACTTGTGGTCTAACAACTTTACGTGCTGATTTCATGGCAAGCAAATTCCTCCTGAAGACGGCAGCAGCGCGCTGGTCAATTTGTCTGTAAATATCTCCAGTGATCTTCGCGGAAAGGCTGCCGGTCTTCAAAATGAAGTGGATTTTCAAAGAGAACTGAATTAGGTCACTAGTCATTGGCGAACGCCGACGAAATCCCCTTAAATCTCCACTTAAAAGTTGGTAGGCCTTCCGTGATCATATTTGATTAAGAAGATTAATTTGAATTATTCAGAGGTGGCCTCATTTGCCGGAAAACTTGAAGACGACGTCGCCCGTCACGGCGACGCATTCACGTGATTACTGGACTTCTCTGTGGCTTTGGGTTTGACGCCAGACCCATCCAAATGATTTCTGGAGACGGATGCCAAGGAACGCTCGCTCACGTTGACCATCTCACGATGAACAAAGGAACTTAACAAAATACTGAGTCGGGTGGCGTTGATGAAGATGTGACACTCCATCTCAAGGAGCCCACGGGCAGCAGCAAACAACAAAGTTGGGAATATCGAACAGTTTTTCCAACTTTGCCATCCGATGTGGGGTGAAAATTGGGACCCGGCTGATCATTTGGAGGCTGCGCCGTGAAGAAGGCGCGCACGGCTCCTCCTCTCGAGATGCGCTAGCTCCGCTGAGGCTCCGGTTTCAAGCTCCCTGTCATGGGATGGTCCGGCGTGCACTAAAATAAATCGGTCAATACGCGTATGCGTCTCTTTCCATTTCATTTGACGTGCCAATCAAACATCTCGAGCCGGCGGATAAACCCGATCAAGGCGGCGTGGCTTATATTAATTGAGTCCGGGTCTCAGTGTCACAGCAGCATCGCAGCTTCTGGAGCAGTTCTTGAACGTCTTTGCTTACTTCAATCTTGAGGAAATGCAGCACTCACCGAATGGCGTCTTTTAGCTTTTGACATCGTCTCAACCGGCTGGGGTGAGAGAGCGGCCCCCGGAGGCTGCCGTGTAATCGCCCACATCTGGCTTTAGTGGGAAGCGTGATCATGCCGGCAGCCTGGGGGGAAAGCTATATTTAGCGGCTGCTAAGTAATAACTAAGTAGAGAGAGAAAAGAAAAGGCCACCATAGCACAAGGTGACGAGCAGATACTGGGGGAGTTAATTACAGTAACGGAGGAAGCCAAAAGACGAGCTTGTCAGCGCTGCGCTTTGTGATTTACTGTCACCCCAAATAGAAAAGGCAAAAACATTTCTCCTGAAGCCATTTTGTAGAGGTGTGGGGGGGGGGGTACAGAGTGGAAAATTCACTTTTTGTGGGCTTGAATATCCATACAGCAGTGCCCCAAGATAGGCTTTAATTGATTCCATGAACATCTCAACCCCCCCCTCCCCCCACGCCGTTCATCTTCCATGGATACGTAATCTGCAGTAATAGTAGTTGGGGGGGGTTTCACAGGAAATAAAAAAATATATATTCCTGTGGGTATTATGTTGCCTGTCTACATGTGTTGATGCCCCGTTTGTGTCCGCATAGCTCTTGCTTAAAACTATTGATGGGAAACTGAAGCACTTGTGGTATTTTATTAATCCTCAAGATGACGGTCTTGGTTTAAAGGTGAGTGCAATTGAAAACGTACTCAATTTCCACTGCTCCTTTAATCATCAAGATGAGGCAAAAAGGATCACAAGTGCTTCGCGAAGCTTCATTTGGCCACACTTAAAGCGTTGTCACAACACCACAAAGAAATGGGAAAACGGGCTCATTTTGGCAAGACTAACATCAAAAAAACGAGATCATCATTCTTGAGCCTCGAAGTATTTTGGAAATGGTTTGATTAGTGGAAAAAAAGGGGCAGAATTGATCTCCTTTCAACCAGGATTTGCGTTAATTACGTGTATAATCCTGACCTTACGATGAATAAAAATAACGTTTAGCAAAAGGCCTTCTCAGTGACTTCCAACTGGCCCGACGTGTGTTTGGACAGCGCGTGGATTGTTTGGGATCTGCGAGGCGCGCACATTTCACTGACATTTCGATAGATAACGAGTAACACTCGCCCACTCGTTAAATCCGCACGTGATCTTCTGGCATTTAAGACCGTTTTTTTTTTTTTCCTCTCTCTCTCTCTCTCTCTCGCCAATTACTGGCCTGGTATGCAAATGCATTTTTTTTTCTCCATCTGAACCAATCGTAGCTGTAGCCTGACCCCCTTGTTTCCTTGAAAATTGCATTATGTGGACTTGTTGGTTTTACCTGCCCTCTCCTTGTCTTTGACTCTGCCTACCCAAAACCCACTGAGCACAGATTGCACTCATATCCAGTGTATAGCCAAAGCTCTGGGACCACCCACATGAAAAAGCAAACCCCCCAGTCCCTCTGACCAAATGATCTTTAAAAAGGCACGACTGCTGATTGTGGATCCGGCCCTGATCACAGCCCGTTCTCCCTTCCTTCAAAGCCTCGCATTGCCTGCTCAGCCCAGCCCAGCTCGGCGCTCCTGCGGCAGCTAAGCTTGTTTTTGCGACATAGCTCTGGAGCAATCATCCTGACAAGGCCGGCCCACTACCCCCCCGCGCCCTCCCTCTCTCTTTCACTCTCTCTCAGCCCAACCCCCTCCCTGCCTTCTTTTTATTTCTTCTAATATTGCATGTTGGTATTTTTGCTTCCTTTGGTTCTGTTCTTTTCAGCTTTGTGTTCATGCCTCGCTCATCCAGCTCTCTAAATTCTTGTTCTTGCCTTCCCTGTGTTCTGCCCCCACCCCACCCCTCCACCCCTGGATGTGACGTCTGCCTCTATCTTCCGATGAATTTTTTATGACTCTCGCTGTGGCACTCGCACGCGAATGGGGCGTGTATCAGCCTCGCGCTGTAAAAAGCGCGCCGCTGGAAATGACAGAGACCCTTGGAAAAGCTCTCTGACCCTTCCGCCGCCGCGTTACGACGTTCGGTTGTTAAACGTCACGCTTGTGCCTCCGCGACATCTCTTGGCAGCACTTTGCTAAACGAGAGGCCGGCGGCAAATGATGGCAGGGGGCGACTAGCTCTGCCATGCGCGCTTTGCTTTTTCATGCTTTGTGTACGAGTATCGGGGCCAATTAGTGAAAAAAAAAAAAAACGGAGCTTTAGACACAGAAGAAGAAGATATTGAAGCCAAACTGCACGAAAGGCTTCCGGAGTCCCCTGACGAGAATATTGACCATTTATTTGCATTGCTCTTAATATCAGGCTATCATTGACTGCTCGTGAGTTTGGAAGCTTTCTGGCGGCGCGGGTACCCGCAGCGGCTCCTCTCTCTCCTGTGGTTGCACTGTGGAAAGAAATTTCATCTTTGCTTTATGTTGCACGTACAGCATATTTGACAATCAAGCTGGCTTGACTTGACTTTCCAGGTCTCTTTGTTCTCCAAAGTGCTGTACATGGAGCAAAAGAGCAAACTTCTTTCTTATTACTGTTGAACCTTAAAATAAAATCTCTGACATTTTTTTTGTCAGTCAAAATACACAAAACAGACTGTATGGCACAAACGGTATGTGTCGCAGTAGCTAGTGGAATGTTTCATACAAACAAACAAATAAATAAATAGATACAAACACAAATAAATAAATAAATTGCTTTCACTCACATTGTACTGGAGTGACAAAAGTCATTTGAACATAAAACGAGGCCGTGCCACATATACGCACAGTTTGATGAAATAATGCCTTTTGCTCTTGAAAAAGTGACTTTCTCTAACTTGGCTTTTCAGAATTCACGCGGTGAGGTCAGATTTATTCGATGATCCGTCGCAATTGAATCAGGGCTTTTCATCGGCACAAAGATTAATTCAGGAGCAGTTATTATTTTGGCTTGCACTTATGAAAACAAAATACTGTAATCCTAATAAGACAGTCGTAAGTTATTGCAAAGGACTTTGTGGCCCACGGACCCCCGAGGACCCCACTTTGAGAACCGTTGTTCAAAATGATTACGCTCAGTGATCAATGCTTGAAGGGGAACCGCGCGTGACCCCGTCCATCACGCCGACGGTTTTCCATCTGGATGCGAGCGAGCTATCGCGCTGGAGCGGCCGGGGCAAGGCGCCGGCTGCGCCGGCTCTCATTGGCTACGTGAGGGACAACTCTGTGCCAGCTCCCATTGGCTGCCTGGAGGTGAGAGGGAGGGGGAACTCACCCCATCCTCCCCCCGTGACTGCGTGCGTAAATGTAAAGAATCTTGTCGGTGCCTGTGATGTGAGCGACTCTGAGCGCGGAGATCAAGCGCAAGAGGGAGAGAAAGAGAGAAAAGGAAAGAGAAGCGACTGCCGCGTCTTCTCCCCCTCCGTCTCCCCGCTCCTCGTCACCCCCATCCTTCTTCCCCTGGCGCGGAGCCGCTTCGAGGCCAGACCGGCAAACCCCCGCGTCCCCCTCCCGCCCCTCCTGCCGCCTGGACCGCCCCAGGACCCTTTGACGTTCCTCACTTCTTTCCCACAAACTGACACTTTAGGCAAGGTAAGATCCTGCTTTTTATTCCAACAACTCTTTTCAATCTTTGCATCCCCCAAAGTGGATGAATGAAGTTTCGCCAAGTTGCCTTTGCTGTCTGGTGTCAACTTGGTGCCTCCATTTCGAATTGTGCCTCTAGTACCGGTGGTACTTTCCAAAACAGAGACCGGGTTGCGGGCGATTCTTCTTTCACCGCTCCTTTCTCTACTTTGCAATCTGTTTGTCTGATCTGGTCGCTTCCGGGCAAAGCAGTCCGTCTTTGATTATTATCCGGGAACGCAGGTGAACAAAGACAGCGTGTTCTTTCCGCAAGAAAATGCAAGAAAATGGATTTGTTATGCTTCAGAGGTAGTTGGTGAAGGCTATTTATAGATGCTGACAGGCCAGCCCCCCCCCTCCTCCCCATGCATGCTTTACCCCCCCACCCCCCTCGGCCCAGCGGTCACTTCCTCCCCAAATGCCGGGCTCAGGACAGAAGCACATCCACGGAGTGGAGAAAGCATGACATTGCAGCAAGTGCGATGACTTAACAAGACATTGACGAGCTTGATTGAATCACGGGAAAGGGAAGTCGGCACGGCCCATCAAGCATTCCTGGCAATCGCCGAGGGGAAAACTGCTTAGTCCTCCATCCGCACATCCTGTACTTGACCAGGAAATGTGTGTGTGTGTGTGCGTGTGTGTGTGTGTGTGTGTGTGTGTGTGTTAGCGAGATAGATTCTGCTTAAGTGGTTGAGACATCAATACCGCCTTGCCTTCACAGAGCTTGAACACCATTCTGTCGAACATTTGGAGCTCACCACATGTCAACAACTCGGGAAAAGGATTTTTTAGTACGAAAGTAGACATGTTGTATCAACCCCCCCCCACCCCCCCCACCCCACCTACCAAATTTGAAACAACACCCCATCTGTGGAAATATCCTTTGGGAATATAAGCAGCATCCAGTCTCGTTGGTGATTTCCTTTGGTTGGGGAGTTCCAATCCGAGCACTCCCGGACACATTTCGTAAGCACGCAGGGTCGACCGTACTGTAAACTGCCGGCATCTTCTTTTACCGAATGTCATTTCAGGTGAACCGACGACTCTAAATGATCCAAAGGTCACTTCGTTTCACATAGCGACTCTGTTTTTCCCACAGCCCGCCACTCGAACCGTAATCAGCAGCTGCTATTTGACAGATTCTCGAATGCACTTACTTAACACAACTAAGCTTTGAAGAATGTACCAAAAATCTCCACCAAAAAGAGATTTTGAGTTGACACATTTGCACTCTCGTGCTTATGCATTTTGGTGCACTCGAAATCCACCGTGTTACATGTATATGTGTGTGTGTGTGTAAGCACAGACAACGAGTGTGGTTTGCCTCATTGAGACAGTTTTGCACTGTCTTTTCAATTTGTGCCACACGCGCACTGCACAATGAGAGCAGATGAGATGTGATGTTGGAAGGAACTGACTGGAACAAAATGAATGAAAACAGATCACATATGCACACGTGTGTTGTCAGCGTGTGAAATGAAAGTAGACCTCGGCCTGCACCCCCACTTCTCCACAAACACCCTAAACAATTGTGACAATTATTTTGCGCTTCTTTACACAAATGCAGTGTAGGTATTTACATGGATTCTTTGGCTATGTTAGGTGAAAATTTTGCACAAAGTAGTTGGTGGATCAATGCCTGGCCATTGCGACTGTGTTGACGTGTCCTACGAAGGTGCGCATATTAGCCAAAGAGGAGAAAGAAGTGGTTGAAACTGGACAAGGTTGAATCTTTCCCCCCTATTGCTTCCCTCGGCTGGTTAAGTGTGCTCATAAATAGGGCAGCCGGTTGACCCCCGTGTGAGTGCTATTTTTATACGCGCTAATACACGCTGGCGCGTGGAAATGACTCCAGTGGTAAAGTGACAAGTCAATGTTATTGTTGGTTCCAAGACAAGATCAAAGAGCTGCACAAGCGTGTTCCGCGGTAGAATCACTGACGCATATTACGGGCACCAGTGTAACAAAAAAATACATCCGAACGCTGCACTCCACAAATTGTGCTGGAATTGAGTACGCACGTTTACTATTTTTATTCCGCCAATGGCCCAAACTGACCAGGTTGGTACCAGTGATAAGGCTCAAACACGGTTACCTTCGTTGAAATTAATCCGAGGTAATTATGCACGTTTATTGTATATTTAGTTGAAAACTAATCGCTAATTTTCAAGTAGCATCACATTGTCGTTCTAACATTTTTCCTCGAAACAAATATAGATAAAGACGCAGTGTTAAGTGTGGGTCTTGAGTATTCAACTACACTGACAAATAGGTGTCCTACTTTTCTGTATAAATTTCAATGTATGCTGAGGGAAAACATCGCCTCTGTTTATTATGAGTTTCGTTGACTGAAATTGCTCTGTTTTCATGGACTAAAACTAAAATACAATCAGGCGACTGAATTATGACTAAAACTTTCATGAATTGTCGTCGAAACACTATCGTGAAAAAAAATGCGTCATTTATTGTCAAAATCAACACCGGTTGGGACTTGCTTGAAACGTGAGGTTTAAGACTTGCTTTTAAATTGATGACCAGGCAGTAGTAACACCCCAACAGCAGGCGTATTGTTAATCATACAAATTGTTCGTCTAAGTCGTCCCCAAAAAAAAATCCATGAGCCAAAAGCGATGATTCACTCGTAAACAAAACTGGGAATGACGTGCGTGCGTGTGTCTGTTAGCTGCTGACAGTGAAATCATGTCTGGTGATGTCAGAAAAAAAAAAAAAAAAGATATTGAAAATGTCGGCTCTTGGCACCCGCCGCTGCCTCTCTGCATTTTCACTTGATTAAAAAGCGGCCGGGAGTTTGTAAGCGCGCGGTAGGTGAGTGCGCGTACACCCTGCCAGCTTAACATACTGATTCTTCAAGCCTCTTAGGCTAAGCCACGGCACTCGAGTGATGAGCGCCATCTCCGCTTCCTCGCCGTTCCTCTCGCTTTCTCGTTCATTCTGTCTTTCAAAGAGCGGCGAGCCCGGTGACAGCTCGCACAAGGCAAACCTGTTGTCTGGCAAAGCAGAGACGGGGGATCAGTGACACAGTGATTCAGACGGTGCCGTCCGGGGCTTAATTTCGACGTAATCCGCCCAGCCTTGCGTTCAACTTCTTTGATGGACTTTCAGAACAGTAGCCAGAGTGGTGTTGTCCGAGACCACCGTCACGTTCTGTTTGTTTTTGTTTCTGAGTTCCAGCTCGGTGAGCGTTCCCTCCAGAGGCGCACCTGTCTTGCATCATGATCAGCTCACTACTTAAGGACTGCCAAACCGGCAACCCCGTGTCGGATAATCCGCCTTGCTCACGACTTTGTTCCCAAGTGCATTTCTCGAGACGCTACGTGTTTTTGCTCCGTAGTTTTCTTGTCACGTTTGGTAGTTTTTTTTTCGTCATGTAAGTAGTGTTTTGGTTTCTATTATTAACCTCGATTCCGTTTTTTGGGTCCTCTTGTCCTTTTGAGACAAGCTATTTTCGTTGATCTATTTCTTGCCTCTTGCAAGCGTTTTTGGTCCCTCACGTTTTATCCTGGTCTATTGGAACCGGCGTCATTAGTTGTACTTTTTGATGGCCTTGCGCCATTTTTTTTGTCACTCAAAGTTTTTGTCATCCATTTTATTTGTAAAGTCCGTTCCTGTCCGGGTCTTTCCGGACATCCTGACAACCACAAGGCGAGCGACGCATAAGTCGCGCTCGTGTGATTGAAACGTGTCCTCGCGAATGCGGCAAACAAAACCCATTCGTGTCGAAAAGTCCCCCGCGTGTTTAGTTCTGGTTCCAGGCAAAGACGGGCAGCTCCAGCAGACCCCAAAACACAATTTAATGAGGCCCTCTGCCATCTAGTGGAAGCGCATCTGACACATCAGCCAGTCACTAAACAGCGCCGGCATACCGTCGAAACGTTCATTGTCGTAAATGCTCATCATTTCCGGTTGATTTTCAAGCTGGACCCCTTCTTTTGTCCATGTGTTTGGGAGTCCTCTCAGCACGCCGGCCAGGTTGCGGAGGCGAGCGGCGCCTGTACAACAGATTGGCCCCAGCAGGTCCTCTAGAAAGCGAGCCACCAAGCCAGCCGTTCCGGCCGCTCGCACGGTGCAGCGGCGCGTGCAACGGTCGCTTTCTTTGTCCAGACGGGAACGAGGCTCGCTGTCGTGCAACGGTGACGTCGCCGACGACGTTGAGGTCGCTCCACCTTTTCACACATCTCGGTGAAGTCCCAGTTTAGAATTGAGTCAAACCGTATGTGTCGCCGAACCCTTGATAGCGTCAATGCTCCTTTCAGTTTGCTTGGCTCAGTTCCTTTTTCACCACGACAAGCCTATACAAGGTCGGCATCACAGCATTATTTTAGTGCTAGTATTTTGTTGTCATGGACGAGCAAAATACACAAGTTTCTATATTTTTCCTGATCATCGTCCCATCTCGCCGGCCAAAGACACGTCATGAATCGCTGAACAGAAAAAAAAAAAAAATCGCCCTCTTATTTTTAGCCGCTAAGTCAGCAAGAGTGCAGCCGCGTGTGCTTAAGCAGACGTCATAAAAAGCCGCATGTGTACTTGGGGAGCTTGAGAAAAACGCGCTCGGAGCCGCCTCTGCTGTGTAGTCAGCGAAGGGGAGCTTAAAATCCCATTAGCCTCCCTCCATCCCTCGTGTGCGCCGCCTAATTCATTAATCACTAAAAATTTCAGAGACGTGGCTCTGGGGTGCGTTTAAGAAATCTTGTGCGATTAGGAGCGCTGCTTGAATGACGGGATTGGCCCAAAATCAGGCAGAAAAAGCAGAGTGACTTCTCATCGTACCGTTTTCTTGCATGGTTCTTCTCCACCTGCTAGCTCTGATCTCTTCTGTTGTTCTTGGCAAAGGAGAAGCTTTTTTTTTTTTTTTTTTTTTTTTTTAGCCACCAGCCGTTGCACATGATTAATTGAAGAGGCAGAAACTGTGTCAGAGCTGCCAGCGAGGTATTGCACGGGACCTTGCCGTGCAACACTGCAGCTTTGCGCCCTACTCTGGAATTTTGCTTTTCTACACGGTGCCATTGTCCACTTTATCAAATGTGTCGTGAGCTAAGGCAGAACCGTGCGGGGACCCAAGGCCAGGGGTGGCCGATCAATTTTGCACAGTGGCCGCGTGAAAAACTAGAACTCTTGCCGAGGGCTAAGTCAACATGCTAATGTCAACGTTGTTTTTCATGCATTGAGACAAAAAGCGTATGGAAATACAACCAAAATATAACTTGACAAAATAAAATGGAGTCAGTTTCGGTGACTTGCTTTCCTACCTCGGGTACTTCAGCACTGTGAGGTCATTCGCCGACCGATGACGCAGCATCAGGAGCGACTGGGGGTTCGCTCTCTTGCTCGCGGACACTTCGATCTGGTGAAACGACCACTCTACCACTGAGCCATGCCGCCCCAAAAGTCGCAAAGGGCTACAACAGGGGTGTCCAAACTTTTGTTTGAGGGCCGCCGACAGAATTTTTTTGGGGTTTTCTTTGGTTGGGTTGCAGAAAAATGGATGGCGGGCCGCAAGTGGTCCACGGGCCGTGGTTTGGATCGCGTCGTCTATAACCTGAGTCCATCCTGTCAAAATAAAACATTTGCATGTTGGAGGTTGCTCATGTTCCCCCCCGTCTTTGGGATTAAGGGGTTTTAAGACTGAGACTTCAAAGCCGAGTCGTCTCTTTACTGAAGGTGTGAGGATGTCAAATGCTGCTTAGTCGAAAGGGGATATTAGGTTTCCCCTGACACACGCACGCACATGCACACTGAAACCCATCATGACTTTGTGCCATTTTCTGAAAACCGAAAGGCTGTCCTCTTCATTTTTTTTTCGACAAATTTGCGGTACATTAACGCTCGAAGGGAGAAATGTTATCAATTGGAAACAGTCTGCAGGTTATCTTAGAAACGCCTCTGTTCATGCTTTCGTCACATTAGCACAAAGATCAAAATTCAGAGTCAACTTCATACGCCTGCCGAAACCGTTTGGTGGGGTGGGGGGGCCGGGGGGGGGCTGTCTCCTTAAAATAAGCAACAATTCATCCCGCAGCGGAGTACAGCTTTCGTTACCCAGGCAACCGGGTTGAACAATGTAAGCAGCTTTTCCGGGCGCAATGAGATACGGCGGTAGAAACAAAAAAAATACGAGTAACCATAGTAGACAAGAAGAGCATTTTCACTTGCGGTTGCAGCACTTCATGCGCGATGCTTCATGCAAGTGTCGGTTACTGTGCGGATCTTTGCATGTGTCATGTCTGTGAAAATAGCCAACTTTTTCTTTTCTCTTCATCTTCATTATGTTTAATTGATATTATGAGGAATTTTTTTAAACAACCCTTACCTTGCGTATCTTTATTTAAGAGATAGTTTGCAATCATGTGCTGCGGGACAAGCATGAGTGCTGAGCATCATGTTTGCACCGCGGTTAAGACCCAATCCCCAGCTACCGTGTATGATTTCTCAGCAGACGGGCGCAGCGGAAACGCAATCCCGGACGCCCACTCGCTCTTGAGCGTTAGCCGCTAGCTGCGATGAGCCGGCACAACGAGCCAGCCTACTCCCGGGCATAAATGTGTCCGGCATCAAGATATATAACTGGCAATTCCATCTACGGTTGAAGCCTGGCCAATTGCTTTGTCGCAGCTACGCTGACGCGCAAGACACACGAGCGCAGGCACGGCCCCGGCCGGCGTAGATGCATGGCGCTAATCAAAGGGTCGCAGAAAGGAGATCGGTGTTAAAATGGAGGACATACAGAGACTTTGGTCTCATGGCCAAGCAGTACCAACGAGTACTTCTTCTTAGAGAGAACTTTGGCGCCATCTAGGAGAATCTTGGTCTGCAACAGAGTATGTGGCGAGCTGCAATATACTGTACATTGAGGGTAGGTTCCATAGATTAAAAAAAAAAAAAATCCACTGCAGTTTGAACGTTGTCTAGGTCAGGCTTTGATCATCTTTTATTGAATTTTGAGTTGACTTGGGAGGCGGTTGTGACTTTGAAAGCCAAAAAAAAAAAAGTCCTTCAAAGCCAGCAATGTGGAAAGCTGATGCACATTAAATACAGCATGACTAATGCCTCATCATCAGCGACAAGGCCCAGTCATCTTGTACGCAATCAATCTCTTCACTCCGAATGACTTCAAAGCAGACAGACTCTTAGGCCACAAGCCCGACTTGAGCGATGCCCTCTGTGCTGCGCCCAGGGTTAGAATTCGAGCGGGCGCCGTTCGCTCGGCTTTGATGACTGCGGCTAAGCTCCAGCGAGTGGCCTTTGTGAGCGGAAAATGACCGTGAACTGCTGCGTGGCTTCTTTGGGATGCGGTTGGTCGACGACAAGCAGTTCTTCTGCCCATTTGCTTGCCCGCTCTCAGCTTCGGCTTGGTGTGAATGTACTGCTGTGTGCGCACATACTTCCCTGTCTCGCGTGGCAGGCTTTCTGCACGGCGTGAATTTTTTTCCTAAATACAGCAATCCCTCTTTTATCGTGGGCGTTGCTTTCAAGATGCCCGATGCAATCCACGAAATCAGCCAGTTGCACTTTGCAAGAACATTGCACTTGAGCTTCGACGATTAACTGTCAAATGATCACAAATTTGCGACATTCTCTTTTTTTTTTTTACACTCTTTTCAAATAATACGCGCAATATAAGTACAATGCACTTAACCCGTAAAATGAAGTATGATAGAGCGATGGTCGATGTCGTGAATATTAGCAGTGCCAGAGGCGATTTCGTGGCAGTTAGCCAATTTCATGTGTGGTGAGGAGGCGCTGATAGCACAAAAAACAAAAATGTCAAGTTGGGGTCAATACATTTTAAAAAATTTTTCATGTGAGCACCCCACAGATGATGACGAAGGAATCGGCACGCACTGGGTTTTCTTGTACTGTGTGTCACAGTACCGAGACTGACCTGTGAGAGGCAGTGTGTTGCCACAGGGCATCCAAGATGGCAGAATAGAAGAAGAAGCTAGGCTGATTATCGGCTAACTGGGATCTGGTAACAACATTGTTTTGCAAGTTTTGCGCTTTTCACGAGAATGTATGTGTTTGGATTGGGGGGTGTGCGTGAAGGGGGCAAGAGCTTCAAGGAGACGAAATCTGAGGTGAAGATACTGTCAGGATATTTAATGAGAGCATAAGAGCCACGCTAAGGAGAAGGAGCATTAGCCTTTTTCGTCATTAAATATTAAAATTGTGATGGCACCGCAGCGGGGGCCCTTTCCATTGACTTTCCCGCTGCGTGATAAGAGACTTTTTTGGCCCAGAGGGACCTCTGCATGCAAACCACTCCTCTGCTGCGGCGCAAAAACTGAGGGCAAATCAGATTGCTGCTTCTGAGGATTATCTTCGTGGGGGGGGGGGGCAAAGATTATTCTCATTATTCGCCGACTGTCTTCTGCTTTTGGAGGAAAAGGTCACGGTGGACCAGGAGAAAGGCGCTTCAATGCTTACTTCTGACTTGACACTGTTATTATGTTGCAGGTCAAATTGACCCATTTAATAAAAAAAAAAACATTTTGTTCCTCCGTAGACAATTAACATAATAGCAATACATGGACAATATTTTGGGAATATTTTCCTGTTTATGCCACATTTGGATTATCAAATAAGCCCCAAGGTCAAAAAGACTTCAAAAGAATTATTGCTCGATGAGAGGAAAGAAAATTAACATACAATACAATACATGCTAATTTATATAGCGGCAGCTGTAACAAAGCGCTTAACAAAACAGTTAACATAAAGTAAAATAATAAACACAACACATAACATAAAACATCTCTAAATGTATTTGATTTCCTAATTTAATGGGAACATACAAAGAATATGATGCCATGTATAGATGTTCTTTGGAGTCATTTTTATTGTTAAAAAAAATGTTTTTCAAGGTAAAAGGGGCTAGAATGTTAGTCACATTATTGATGTTTGTTGTCGCTCTTGACATTTGTCATTGTCATATTTTTTCTCCATGTGACAATACACGACGTACAGTATGACTTAATTACGTCACGGTGAGGGGGGGGGGGGAAGTAAAAGTTGCGTTTTTGTTAAAAGGCCAAAAGAGGGCAGCAAGCTGCTGCTGCAAAATGCAAAAGGCTTCCGTGTTGAGAGGATGCCGCAGCAGCCGTGCAATGTGGACATTCGACACTACTGTACGTGTAACTTCAAAGTGGGCGGCAGATGGCGCTACAAAGCACAATTTCATCCAAAGTGCTCTGTCTCGTTCACAGAATCGCCACCCCCCCTCCCACTGTCCTCGGGGCTGTTGTTGTCTGCAGAACTCACCTTCACAATGTAAGAAAGCATCATTAATAAGAACAATAACACAGTGAGCATGACTATAACCTGAACAATTATCCTTTTTTCCTCCTCTCTCTCAGATATCTCCTCTTCCATTTTTGCCCCCATTGGATAATTTCCCGGTGGGAAAGCACTCTCAAGTAAGTGCTGGGGACAACGGTGATTTGGGAAAACCTAAACCACATTTATAGCTATGGACAGTTTAGAGTCTCTAAAGTAGCTAATATGCATTCTGGAAATGCGGGAGGAAGCTTCAGATTGCCAGGAGAAAAAATCCACCCAAATATGAGGAGAATATGCAACGACTCCGGAGAATCCAAGAAACTCACCTGGAACTCCGATGTCTAGAGAGAGGGAGATGGGTAAGGTGGGGCCAGGCCATTTGAAGATTTGAAAACAAACAGAAAATCTTCAGAACTCCAAAAAGTAGCCAGTGAAGGGATGCCTGAACAGAATGATGGACGATTGGCTGACTCCAGAATCAAGTGCTGAAACAGTCATTCGGCCAGGATGTGACGAAAGCATAAATTGCAAAGTGCTCTTGAGAAAAAGGAAGGTCTTGACTTTTGCCAGCTGCCTAAAATGAAAGAAGCCGGATCGGACAAGGGCACCAATTGTAGGAGGTAGAGCAGCTGATGGTTCCCTTTTCTTCATGTGGTCAAGAGGGCAGGACAAGTAAAAAAAGGCCCGAGAGCGCTGGGTGTATTGATCTGCAGTTAATACGGGGGTGATGTTCTGAAAGGCCTAATCTGCAGAATCCTAAAATCCACGTGGGGCTCGCCAGTGATCTATTAAATCTGCCGAAGAACAGGAGCGATGCGAAATTGTTGTTTTGCTCGCAAATTCATTTCAATGCAGCAGATAACGAGGGAAAAACAATGAAAGTCAAGCAAAGCAAAACGTTTGGAATTGGACGCGGCGGGTTGCGAGTGTACTCGCTCGTATACGATGATCGCTGTGTGTTTTCAGGTGACGGGCGTCAACATGGGCTGCTCATCGACTTGAGAAGAAGAAAACCGCCGGCTGATGGACCAATCGTCGTCGGAGTGATATTCGGTTGCCTCTCCTCTTCTGTCCTTTATGACCTCGGAAAACATCACCTTCAGAACATCCGGTGAGTAGCGGCGTTGGTTTTAGATCCTTTGTGCAACAAAGTGACCGTGTGCAACACGCCGCACGCAGCTGTCCTCTTGAGTTTGAGCTTTTCGGACCAAGGTCTCTTATAAATAAAGGAAGAGAAAATACGTATGAATAAATGAAAATCTGTCGCGAGAATACAAAAGGGAACTCATTATCTGTGAAGGATTTTCACTGGCCCCATCCATCAAAAGTTTGAATTGTCGGAGAGGATGCGAAAGTGACCTAATTTGCTTCCAAATGTTTGTCCCCCGTGCGATGTTTGGCAGGTGGCGAGCTGGCTGGCATCCCATCATATTATATTTCCTTTTGAGGAGCCTCCCACTCCTCCCCTGCACCCGCCCCGATTCCAGCATCGTCATCCGGTCTCGCCATGGAGTCGAACCAAGTCCAGTCAGAGGGCGGCCTCAACGTCACCCTCACCATCCGCCTCCTCATGCACGGAAAAGTAAGCAAACACCCCGTTTAGTACTTTCTTTGGCGCGCGCGCCACATTGCAGATCTTCCCGCTATTTGATGGGTGGATGAAGTGCTGCTACTACGAGTGAAAATGCTTTCATCAGCCATGGCCAGCCTCTCGTTTGTGTCGTCAATTTTGCATTTGAGGGTTTACCGTGGAGTTTATTGTCTTTACCGTGAGGTCAGACCGTTCGATGTTGCAAAAAGTCGAGCCAGGAGAAAGTCTTGACAGCTTCCTACATGCAAATGAGGTGCTCGATATGCATACGTCGGCTGACGCCGACGGGTGGGCAAACGGAGGGAAGAAAGAAGCAGCAGGCGGCCGCGCACGGAGTCTCAAAGGTGGCGGTCGGGTGTAAAATGTCCGCAGTCCACTTCACGCCTCCGCCTTGGCGTCTTGTTCTTGAGCAGACAGACGAGAGTCACTTTTCATGTATTAAGACTAAAAGCAGGATTTGCGATTCATTATTAGCCCCCCCCCCCCAAAAACACGCTAATCACTTTCCATTCCAGATTAAAGATAGATGATGGAAATTAAGAGCCCCCCCCCACCCCAAAATGACATTTTTGGGCTGTATAAATGCCCTCTTTGGGATTTATGTTAAAAATAGTTTATAGTCTATTTTACGCAAACATGTACTTGGAAATTGCCAGATTGAAAGAAGCGTTTCGGGGGATTTTTTTAATGATGGTTTTGCCAGTGCGTATCAGTGTGAGGTCCACGGGGATGAAAAACTTTTTTTTTTAACTGGCCCGTTAATGAACTGGCCCAGTAGCCCAGAGTAAATTCCGCTAACGCTCGTCCGGCTGAGGCTGATGGATGAGCAAAAATATTGGTCTTTCCACCCCTGCTGCGCCGTCGAGTCCAGCGGATTACATTGAGGATGTTACTCGTTCATCTTCCGACAAATTGTCACTGGACTAAGCTCAATCATTCACCGAGCGCGGCTGTCTCTTTCGTTTCCTGCCGCCTTCCAAAGTGATAACAGTTCAAATAGAAGAGTCGATCTGAGTGGAAATGCTTGTTTGTCAAACGCGCCGTGTCGGAAGCGTGCTCTGCATTCCGCTGCGGCTTTGGCCAAGGGCTGAAGTTGGTTGTGCTGAGATCCATCCGTTGAGCCGTCAAGCCATCTTTCGATCTCTCCATTTCTTGCTCCTCCCGTGCAAGGTCACGAGGAGCTCGTGACAGTAGCAGCAGGTCGAGCGCCAGTCAATCACATACAGGCAGACAAACATGAACCCTCACATTCTCTGCGCCAACTGAACTTTACACTGAAACCAACTTTGTCAATCCTGAATCGTTTTGAAAAAAAAAGGGCAAAAAGGAAAGTCAAGGACTTGTAGTTTGGCAACTTTAAAAGGAGCCTGATGGCTAATTTATGAATATTAATATCGACTCGGGGAGCTTGGCGGCCTGCGGCTTTCAAGTGACATTGGAAATCCACTAAGCTTTGCGGTGACTTCGCAAAGCGCCAGTGTGTTGACACGCAGCCAGAGCCGCTTCTCCGCTTCTTCACCGAGCTGCCCTTTCCCCACCGCGCCACCCGGAGCTCATGGAGAGCAATTGCGTGCAAATGGCCGGTGGACCTTCAGCGTCCCCTGTGCGACCACTGCGGCAAAGGAAGAAAATGCTTCAAAATCCATTTGTGCTGACACGTTTGAGGTGAAACACTTTCTCGTTTTGTGTGTTTTTATTTTAGGAAGTGGGAAGCATAATTGGAAAGGTACGTTCCTTCACGCCCTCCATACATCCCGGACCTTTGACGCATATCATGACTTTGTTGCTTTATTTCAACCAGAAAGGAGAAACGGTGAAAAAAATGCGCGAAGAGGTGAGTTTGGGTATGGTGTCACATTTCCATTTCTCGTCATTTAGTCATGGACAAAACGTATTCACAAATTGTTCCCCTCATGCAGTCGTGCGCAAATGTTTTAGGGGCCATTCTACCAAATGACTGTCATTTGCACCTCCAGGATATAAAGTGTATAAATGCCCACTAAGATTAACTGTAAAATATGTTTGTTTTTTTTTAATTCAGCAAAGCGTCCTGCACACCGATCAGAGTGCAAATTTAATGGATTCAATTTAAAAGATGCAATTAAAGTACCATGAACATGGGAAAAATAACATCAGGCACCTGCCCCCGCTGACTAAAATTGCATTTTGCCATAACATTAAATTAATCACACTTTTGGATTTTTTTATTTTTATTTTTTACTCTTTTGTGTTTCTCAAATGACTTCAGAAAGCGAAGATTTCCACACAGATATGTTTCCAACTCTGTGAAAAACAAGCTACATAAATGCAGTCCAATCACCATTTTCTTCTTCTGGTCTTTTCACAACTGTGTGTGTTTGCGTTCCATTGATCTGCATGTGTGCATGACACTGCCCCTTAGAGGCCAAGCCCAGCACAGCGAGAACAGCACAGTCCACTCTTCATTGCACATGCAACACAAACCCGGGCGGTATAGTGCCCATTAAAATGTTGTGCGTTAATTGTGTGTGTTAAAAAAAAAAAAAAAAAAAGTGTTTTAGCTTAGCTTAACGTTAACAAGGTATTAGCATAATCGCTAGGTGGCTATATTTCATGGTGCCGTTGTTAAATCCAGCTCCTTTCAACTCAAGCGGCTGGCTCAAGTCAAGCCTCTCCTCTCTCAAGAGCAATTTGAAACAATAATTCATGCCTTCGTCACATCCCATGCAATTGACTTTGGAGTCAGCCAATCCTCCATCAAGTTGATCCAGTTGGTCCACAATGCCGTCGCTCACATCAATCCTACTCTGGCATCCCTTCACTGACTCATTTTAGAGTTCTTTTGAAGATGCTTTGATTTCTTTTCAAATCTTGTAATGGCCCCGTCTCAGAGCTCCTCATTCATTTTTTGGGATAATATGTCTGACCGTTTTATCAGTGCCGCTGCGCTTGATGGACGGAAGTGGCATGATGCAATGCGCTGTTTTTTTTTTTCCAGAGTGGCGCGCGAATCAACATCTCCGAAGGCAACTGCCCGGAGAGGATCGTCACCATCACCGGACCAACGGACACAATCTTCAAGGCTTTTGCCATGATTGCCTACAAATTTGAGGAGGTAAGTGTGTCGTGGCTCAAACAAGACACTTGACACCCGCTGTCGATCAGCTCATCCAGGCTGGAAGCCCCGTTTTCAGGAGCAATGTAAGTCCACTTCATATTTTGTCAAATGCTGTGCCACCTTGTGACAATGAATGCCTGCTGTGCATCGACGATGACAAAAAGTCAGCTGTCATTTCAAGCTCATTAGTCCCCAAGTACAACTGGTCCGGTCCACTTGTAATCACATTGTGGTGAATGTTTGGTACGCCCGAGAAGAAAATGAGAAGAAACACCAACTTGAAATTGCCACCTGAAGACAAGGTGTGAAAATGTCCATTGTTGTTTCCAGGATATCATCAATTCCATGAGCAACAGCCCGGCAACCAGCAAGCCTCCCGTCACCTTACGGCTCGTCGTGCCGGCCAGCCAGTGCGGCTCCCTCATCGGAAAAGGAGGTTCCAAAATCAAAGAAATGAGAGAGGTGGGAGAATCTTTCTGTGCAATATGACACTTATTAGGAAGTAGCAGAAGTCCGACTCCCCCCCCCCCCCCCCCCCCCCTGCTGTGTGCATTTCTGTGGGCTCTCAAAGCATAACAGCATGAGCAGCATTTGATCAAAACGACTTGGGAGCACTTTGCCGCCGGTCAGCGAGCAACAATAAATCGCCACGGCGCATTTCTTTTTCCCTAACGTGAGATGGAATTCGGCAGCGGACACCTTTTGTGTGGTGTTTGTCAACATTAAAAAGGCCCTCTGGCATCTCTAGTCCACAGGGGCTCAGGTTCAGGTGGCGGGGGACATGCTCCCCAACTCCACAGAGCGCGCTGTGACAATCTCCGGGACTCCGGAAGCCATCATCCAGTGTGTCAAACAGATATGTGTCGTCATGCTGGAGGTAAGAGAAGCGAAGAAAACCTTTATTGTCTCACAATGGAGAAATTTGCAATGTCCATCCAGTAATGGCTGTTACTTTTGTGACACCTTCTAAGATGAAAATTTTGGATCGAGCAAAATTGGTTGGTCGCTCATTAAAAGGGGCCGCACTGCTCGAGAGTTCACTCGCACCTTGGCCGCGTCATTTAGTAAGCCCACAGTCGGGATGCGGCCGAACCCGACAGTCCTCTTGCGCAGGGCGCCGCGTTCGGCCACTGCAGTAGCGTGATGTAATTCCCATGGGTGGTTGAGAGTCGGCCGCTAGTTTTGCGGCGATTCAAACCCGGGAAAGTTTTTAGGATGCTTTGATGTGACACAAGCACGTAAAACTTTCCTCTCACTTGGAGATTTGGTCAAGCCTCTCACTGTCGTTCTCGCTCTCCTCTAGTCGCCGCCCAAAGGTGCCACGATTCCTTATCGCCCAAAGCCTGCTTCCACCCCTGTCATTTTTTCAGGGGGCCAGGTAAGAGTCCAACTCGTTGAAATGGATTGCTTCATCCCAAGATCATGAAACAATTTTATTTTTTACATGCCAGCACAACATTGACCCCATTTTGAAGGGTGAATCCCCAAACTGATCAGGACATCCTCTGCCATTTGTTGGCAAAGGCGACCAAAACAAAACAAAGTGTCAGTTTGGATCCGTGCTTCAGATTGGGGGAGATTTGGACCAATTGCCTTTGCCCTGCCATTTGCTGCTGCAAACCAAAATGGCTGACTTCCTGTGAAACTTTCCGCATGGTTGGCTCCTTGAGACTTTATTCAGGTGTCCCGTTGTGACGGGCCTGTCAGCCGAATTTCATCTCGGTTGTTGAAAATGTTGCCGGTTTCCTTTGAGACCCCTCCAAGTACGGGCAAAAATTTGAATAATGACAATAAATACAAAGGTTCCAAGAGCCCGTAGTCCAGTTCAGTGCTTCTTTGACTGGGATGTAATACGAATGCAAATTACAAATACATGAAAAAAATAAAAGAAATCAGTCAGTTCCATTTCCGATTCACTTGCATGTCTTCTTTTTCCCACGGCCTCAATTAACGACATCTCTTTTCACTCTTCCCCACAGGCCTACACGATTCAGGGACAGTATGCCATTCCACACCCAGATGTGAGTTTTGATTCTCTTCCTAGAATAAAATCGTGAAATAATCCGAAAGATTGAGGATGTGGGATCAAAAAAAAAGTGACACCTCATCTCTGACATTCTTGAAAGTCAGTTGAAGACCTGATTCAATCCTCTCAGAAAACAAAAGTGCGGCCACCGTAAGAAAAGTGCAAGCCCTTCATTTCCATCGTATCATATCGCGGCCCGGTCCTAATCCGCCATCAGCTACCCTTGTTGCGAGACCATCTCAAGAGCTCGCGAGCGAGCGTTAGGTTGACTAATTCTGAGTTGGGCGCTGATAGATGCGCTTGAAGGTCCAATCGCTCAAGAGCACACTTGACATCCTCTTTGCCCCTTTAAAAGTCTGTCAGGAGGGAGAATCTGAATTGAAAGCACACCGTGCTGTCCTCACGACACGTAGATTATCTGCGGCGAGACAGCCAGCGAACCAGGAAAGACAACTCTGCACGCGCCGCTTACTTTTCTTGCCTTTATGAAGTTTTCTTGTCCTCACAGGCAACAAAATGCAAAAAAAATGGATACCCGGATGTGTGTGTTTTGGTAAAAAGACAAACGTCTTCCAAGGCTCAAGTGTTTGGAGTCCATTCACAGCTGTCTGTGAGCTATTTTGAATCAACTGCAACTCGAATTTATTTGACAGATGAGAAATATTCGCCAAAGATCTACTGTTAAATGAAGATGCTCTTACATTACTAAGAAGCAAAACGATCAACAAAAACGAGAGGTCTTATTCTGACTTTTTTTTTCATCCTAAAGTTCGAACAGTTTGCACTACGAAATAGTCAATACTAAACCAACTTAATTATGATCAAATATGAACTTATTTACATCTTTTCAATGCACATACATCTTTTCTCTTCCCGCCAAGACGTGACACACACGCCTTCCCACTGCCGCACCAGAACGATAACCCGGACCCGTGCGTGGATCTCTTACTCCAATAATGAAACGGGGAAAACTAAATCCTCACGACCGTTCCTGGGTTTTTGTCATGGATGAACATGTGTACGGTGAATGCAGTTATCAACCCGAGTTGCACGCAAATCAGAAATCAATGGGTTGTTGAGAGCTTCGTGGCCAAAAGCAGCCTCGTCCTCCCTTCTCTGTCCTCCTCATGTTTATTTTTCTTCCCCCCCCCTCCCTCCACCATCTTGGTTGTGTTCCCACCTATCCTCACCATCTCTACTTCTTGAGTTGACTACATTCTCTTGGTGTAAAGAGTAACCTGTTAGTTGTACTTTCCCTCCTAACCCTTCAGCAGCTGACCAAGCTCCACCAGCTGGCTATGCAGCAAACCCCCTTTACCCCTCTCGGACAGACCACCCCCGCTTTCCCCGGTACGTACCCACGAGACCCTCGTCCACGCGGCCTGCTCTGGCCGCATCCTTCCCCTTCTCTCACCTCCCACCTTTTCTCCTTTCCTTTTCATTTCAGCGCGACTTGCTCTCTGTATTTATTTTTTTTTTGGTTTCCAAAGCGATTAGGCCTGCGAGATCGCCGCTTAATATCGCCGCGTCATCGGCAAAGGCGATGCGTCCATCCTTGAAAACACTTGAGCGTCTTTCGTTCGCCATATAGGATGATGGTTTAATCGCACACTGGATCAGTTTAGGGTTCAAAAGTGAGGCATAATGCATACAAATTGATACGTGCCAAACGGTCGGTGCTTTCGTGATGAATTGCTAAACAGCGTGCAGCGGCGGTCTTGTGGCGCTTGCTGGAGCTGCTGCTGTGTTCAGACCCATTTGATCATGAACAAATGTTTTCTGACTGCCCTGACGGTTGAATTTTCTGTCAAACATTGACTGTCGCGACATTGAGCAAATTTGTCGACGGCACCCTAACACGCTGCCGCACACATGGCGCCAATTTATACGTTGCAAAAATGTGGGAAACTTTTGACCCGCGGTATGTGCATCCAAGATGTTGCCGAGGTGGCCACACCTGTGCAATTCTATCTGAGAAAAGAGCGTGAGAGCGACAAATCCTTGTCCACGTGCCGGGATGGCAGTTTGATGCGCTCAATCAGGATTGGGCGTCACTTTGAAACGTTGGCTCACAGTCGCATTTTAGGAAATAGATAACGAAAAGGGGCTTATTTCATGAAACACCGAATGCTTGCAGGCACTCCAGAGAACCAAATTGTTTTTGATGAAAAAGTCATTATGATGGCAAATTAAGCAAACGGCGCCAGCCTCCATTCAGGCTTTCAGCAAGTGAAGCGTTGCCACGACAACAGTGACATCATCAAGCAAGTAAGTTGCAGGCCAGGAGCAACTTCCTCCCCTGGTTTGCGGCCCGAGCAACGTGACCTTGGTTACTCGTCAGGCTACAAGCATGTTATCCAAATGTTCAGTAATGCCTGTAAACCCAAACAGGAAGTTGACATTTTCAACCATTTCTTGTATTTTTGTCGTTGTTGTGTTTGATCTCTTCAGGTTTGGATGCCAGTCCAGCGGCCAGCACCCATGAGCTCACCATTCCTAATGATGTGAGGAAGCTCCAAATGTATTCGCTAATCCACGGGTGTTCCTTTTGCACTTACGGTGGGGCTGTGCAAACTTTTTGGTTTGAGAGCCGCCTGCGGAAAAACGGAAGGATGAAAGGGACATTTTTAGAAACACGTTAAAGTCAGTCGAGACAGCAGTTCTAAATTGTTTGTATTGTCCAGTTAATTTCATCAAATTTGGAGTTTTTGGGGTGGCCACCAGCCCTCTATCTCACGGTATAGATCCGGCTCTGCACTTAACATCCCGTCTCATTCAGGCCCCAAAATGAATTTTTCAAATGGTCACTTGAGACTCGTTCCTGTGATGTCTTCACAAATCAGCCATGGAGCCTAAAATGGAAGAAAGTATTTTCAATTTCTCCCACCCGCTTGTCGTTCCAGCTCATAGGCTGCATCATCGGGCGTCAAGGAACCAAAATCAACGAGATCCGACAGATGTCGGGGGCTCAGATCAAAATCGCAAATGCCACGGAAGGCTCGTCCGAGCGCCAGATCACCATCAGCGGGACGCCGGCAAACATCAGCCTGGCCCAGTATCTCATCAACGCCAGGTAACTGCGACACTCGCTCGGGCCCGTTTGAACAAACCGCGAAGACACCGAGTGATTCTTTTCGGAACCTAATCAAGCAAATTAAAAACGGCTCACGGTATGACATCATTTGATTTGTCACACAATGACAATGTTTTAAGGGATCGCATATTTTAGTTCATAGATGCGATTTTCTTTTTTCTTGGCGCGGCCAGTAAAATGTTAAAATAAACCGAAAGACACTTGACCAAACAATTAACTGGCTTCTGATTTCAAAACAAGCTCTCCATCAACTTGTCGCGCAAAAGCGATCAGATCGGGCGATCGCAAGTGGAAACGGGTTCCGAGTCACGACGGCCCTTCGAGGGAAACCGCGACAAAAATGCGCGTTGACGCCTTTGGGTAATCCAAATGACTGCGGGTCAATTTGACCCAGTGACACGATTGCTCTTTTGAGAAATGAATACGACGGGAGGGGAGGGAAGAACGAAGGAAGCACAGAACGAGCTGCAGTGTCATTCTTTTCTCCTCCACTGCACACCTTTTTCCTTCCGTCGCACTTGTTTTATGTTTTCTTTTTTTCCAATTTCTTTTGTGCTCTTCTAGGTTGACATCGGAAGTCACCGGAATGGCCACACTCTAATTTCCGCCCATCTTGCCATCCCATGATTCTCCTTGAGATGCACTTGTTGATCGGCTCCTCTGTATTAGCTCGTCTTGATATTTCCAGTGAGTGATGTCAACGTTTGCTGTCGATGCCGCTCGACTCAACTCATCTTTCTTTCTATCGTGACTTGAAGATGAGAAGATTCACGGCCATGATCCGTTTTGCCTTGGACTTCACCTTTTTTTCTTCTTTCCGTTCACTTTACGTACACGAAGAGCCATTTGCAGTTTGAGAGCTTTCATTCAGTCTTTTCCTTTCTGGCTTTGCATTCAAAAACGATTTTATTGTGTGTAGCTGCAGATTTTTAATATTGAATGGTTATTGTGTTCTAGTTGTGCACTTTCTCAAGAGGTCGCTTTGCCTCGCGACACAACAGGAGGGGTTTCGTGACACCGACAAAATGCTGCAGCGCAGACAGAAATCTCAGCGCGCGTCAACAAGAGCCATTTCGTTCAGCCAAGAACACAAAACACCGAGTCGCGTTTCTGACGTGACAAAAAAAAAAAAAAAAGGCAACTGCTCTCTCTACTCTCCAACATAGAGAGAATTCCATCCGCTGTCAAGAGATGGAATTGCCGCCGAAAAGGATTTTTTGTACATTTTCAGGTGTTCGTATTTGACAAGCCATTCGCGAATTTTCAACCGCAGGTGACGCCAGACTTCTATGCAAGACCGTAGCAAGCGTTTCGATTGGCTCTGTGTTTTGCACCCCAGTGGATGCCCTTTGATTGCTTTTTCAAAATCCCCGAGGCTGGATTGACACGGCGGGTCCAAGTGCCCAATTCCCATTTCACCTCCCATCTAGCCAAAGTTCTGGGCGTCCGATGCTTGCCAGATGTGCCCCTGAGACCCGTTGCGGTTTTGTTTCCATCTCACATCGAACATCTGACAGACGAGGATGTGGCGAAATGTTACGCAGGAGGTCTCGATATTTGAATCGGTGTGACCAGTTTGCGGAGAGCTCCGTTGCCTTTGCCCGCGCGTTCACGTACATGCAACCCCCGCGCTGCTTTTGTCACGTTAGCCAGGACGCGTTCAGTCAAAGCGAGCACGACCGAAGCGACCATGTTTGAGTCAACGTGAAGGTCTTTGTATTGAGGTTGACGGTGGATTGTTTCGTAAAAAGAAAATAAAGTTTCAGACCCTTTGCTGTTCCTCTTATGTCCTTGTGATGTTTGCACAACACGGAAATGATTCAAAGGGGCGCCTTTCAGATCAGAGGGGATGGGGGTGGGGGTCATGTACACAAAAAAGAAAAAAAAAAACAGGACAGATATTGTACGGACGACCTCTTTGTCAAAGTAATTCCACATCACGGGGACGTCCAAACATGACAGAAAAAAGCTTCCGTATGCACCCAAGGCCAATCGTCCTCAATGGCACCGAACGCTGAAATAAATGAAGAAATGAATAACCGTCCTTCTGCAAAAACAAGAAATGAAACGTATTCATCTCCTGTTTGCCTCACCTCTTCCAGGCTCCAATTTTCAATCATCCGGCACTTTTTGAAAATGCTTCAAGCTTGGCTACGTTGTCAGCGCAACACAACTGTCGCCAGCGGCCCCACGTTGCAAACCATTGCATTTGCGGGCTCCAAACAACAAAAGGCGCCCTTTCCGAGAAGTCCGCCGTCAAAGGGGCTCAGCGTCAGTCCGGAATGCAATAGAAAACGCTGTCGCTTGCGGTGCGGCTTTGGACGTCGGTGAGCTGAGCGCTCGAGGCGTATTCACCTCCTGTTTGCCTCACCTCTTCCGGGCTCCAATTTTCAATCATCTGGCACTTTTTGAAAATGCTTCAAGCTTGGCAACGTTGTCGGCGCGACAACTTTTGCCAGCGGCCCCACGTTGCAAACCATTTCATTTGCGGGCTCCAAACAACAAAAGGCGCCCTTTCCGAGAAGTCCGCCGTCAATGGGGCTCCGCGTCAGTCCCGGAATGCAATAGAAAACGCTGTCGCTTGCGGCGCGGCTTTGGACGTCGGTGAGCTGAGCGCTCGAGGGGACGCGGCGACTCGGGAAGCCTTAGCGGCGTTGCTAAATGAGCATCGCGCGGGTCACCTTGCGCGGCGCTCTCGTTGACTTGCACGCAGTCGCGTGTGTACTGCCCAGGCTCCCTGATTGCATTTAGTCACAATGCGCCGCATGATGGAAGAGCACGCGGAATCGAATCAAGTTTGGATGTCAAGAGCTGCAGTTGAAGCGCACAACCAAAGGATGCTTTGCAGCCATTTTGCACGTCAGGATAACTTGTGCGAAACCAACACAAGTGGACCTCCCACCCTGCGCCAAACGCTTCCACGATGGCTTTTTCACAGAGAAATTCCGCATTTTGGTGACGCGAAGCAAAATCTGGCAAACAAGAACGTTCCAGTTGCCTCAATTTGACCTTTGACCTGCTTGAATGAGAACCAAGCTGAGCGTGAAGAAAAACACCATTTTAAGCAAGAACGGTCAGTTCAAATAAGACTTGGGCAGTCGTGTTATGTGGTTCACAATACATAAGTACCTTCCATGGTCAACAGTTACATTAAGCACAGTTTTCTTATTGCTGAATTAACACACACACACACACACACACACAGATTATATCGATGATTATTTTTTGAAATACTTTAGTCACAAATTGCATTTAAGGGGGAACAAATATTGCCTGTTTGTGAGCAACTCTTTCTTTCCCGGCTAATATCGTGTCATGTGGTTCACAATACATACGTACGTTCCATGGTCAACAGTTACATTAAGCACAGTTTTCTTATTGCTGAATTAACACACACACACACATAGATTATATCGATGATTATTTTTTTTTAATACTTTAGTCACAAACTGCATTTAAGGGGGAACAAATATTGCCTGTTTGTGAGCAACTCTTTGTTTCCCGGCGAATGATGTCACTTTTGGTGGGCAGCTTTTGCTTTCCTCGATGCGTCACTTTTACGACCACATAATAACCTCTGCGTCACCTGTAAGTGTGTTTTAAGAGTTTCTTGTTGCACGTTACATTTTTGTCGACAAAACAGCCTTTTGTGACCATATATTTGAATTGCTCAGTTTTCAGCAAAAAAATTAATAAATAAAAAATTGGAATGGTTCGATCTTGGCTTTTGTGAGCAAAACGCGTGAAATATTAAATATGGGACATTAGCCCTCGGCTAGATAACCGCTGCATTTTGCTGGAAAAGTATGAATCTTACTTGTGTCTCAACAAAGCAAATCGTGTTCGAATGGCTCAATTATTCATGTTTGCGGGGAAGCAATGTTCCTCAATGAACAGCATTTTGCTCCTTGTCGGTTTCAAAATTAATAAATAAAAAATTGGAATGGTTCGATCTTGCCTTTTGTGAACAAAACGCGTGAAATATTAAATATGGGACATTAGCACTCGGCTAGATAACCGCTGCATTTTGCTGGAAAAGTATGAATCTTACTGTCTCAACAAAGCAAATCGTGTTCGAATGGTTCAATTATTCATGTCTGTGGGGAAGCAATGGTCCTCAATGAACAGCATTTTGCTCCTTGTCGGTTTCTGTCTGAGCATGAGTATATTTTAACGAAAGAGAGGGAGGCTTTATTAGGACGGCCTATTTCGATTTTCTCGCCTCATTACAGAGATGAATCGCTGACATTGTTTTCAGGTCAAGGTGAAACAACCGGGAAGTATGACACGCCGTCTTTCATGACGGCCGTACCGTGTGGTTTGGTTCCTTTATGACGTGCCAAATACAAAAATCTGATCAATACGATTCAGAGCTGTGCATCGATTGGACATGCTGATTGAGTCACATCTTCGTTTGTTGACGGCTTGCGGCTCCCGGGGCATCGGCGGCTATTTGTAGTTGCGCACGGCGCAGCTGTGCATCGATACACAGGAGGGACGCGTGGATTCTTCCTTTGGATCCGTGCTGGGAAACAGCTGGCCCTTCGGCTGCCGGAGAGCATTTCGTACGGGCCGAGTGTACAAATGTTTTCCAAAAATGCCACGACAAATGAAATATGAGTTTGCGTTGCTTGGGGAGATTGCATGCATCCATTTTGCGCTGCATGAGAGAGCATCGCAAATGCAACGGCGCCGGCGATGACATCCAAAAAAAAAAAGTAATCCATGAAAGAAGCTTTGGTGTGAGCGCGGCACAAATAAATCAGGCTGAAGGTCATTTTCAGTCCTCGCATTGCTGAAGGGACATTTCTTTTCGAGTCTCATACCTGCGATCCAACGATTGAGACATCGGGGATTATCGCTTCTTCTCTGAATTTGAAGAATCAGCAAAAAGGCACATTTTTTCCAAGAGATGGCTCCTGCCATGTGATTCACTTGCCTTGAGACTCGATTGAGCTTTGTCAAGCAGTTCGTCGGTGAATTGTTCAAGGGGAAGTCGGCCCCCTGTGGAGAATGGATGGATAGAAGTCCACCCCCAATTGTTCTTGACAAGAATATCTTCGACGCTCCTCCAGTCGTCTCAATGTGGCATTCTGATGAATATTGTGTTTGCGGAATGTGAGTTAAGCGGGAAAATGCCGCCCGTCTTTCGCCACTTCAGGAGGCGGCCATCTTGCCAAGATATAACAAGCACACTGCAGGAAAACAAGCAAAACAAGCAAAATGAGAAAAAAATCATGAACAGTGATTCGTGGGCTTTTGGAAAAGAGCTCTTTGTAATTTGCAATCAGGGAAATCGTACACTGTAATTGCCTTCAAAACGATAAAAGAACATTTTTGGTCGCTTTGAAAAAGAATGATTTGACCTCCCTTCCCAGCACTTCAAAAAACAGAAAGGGAAAATCATGTTTAACTCTTGCCATTGCTTTTTGCAAATAATCTCGCTTTGGATTGGGAAATAATGTCAAATATCAACATGTCCTTGAGGTATTTTAGATTTCATCTTTCCATTTCGCAACGTCAGACGCTGTGCTCTGGTAACAACGGACGATAAATCACGCTGGGACAATTGGCGTTTTACCATGCAGAAGGCGTGCGTTATGATGACAAGTCGCAGCGCCTTACGCAAACAAGTCCGGACTTATTCCGGCAACTAATCAGGCTTCCTTCCTCCTCCTCCTCCTCACCTTCACCTTGCATGTCTGCTGTTATTCGTCTTACGCTCTGCGGGACACCGCCAGGGTGAATTCGTTCGTTCTGGTCAAACCGCTACCTGCATTTCAACGTGAAATCCGAGGCAGGGGATACCGGGGCTAAGACGCACTTGATTTTTTTGACATTTATTTTGTCTTTCTATTGGTCTGTCGCCAACACGACAAAGAAATAAGATAAGATGAGATAAGATAACGTTTATTTGTCCCACACTGGGGAAATTTGCAGTCTACAGCAGCAACAATGGCTGCTATTGGAGGAAGGAGAAGTGGACACCGCTGGGCACGGCTCAACAGAGACAGATGACTGGAGGTGACGATCAGAAATAAAAATTTGGAAGCGCAAACCACAATGAGTATATCTTCTATGCTCAGTGGAACATGAAGGAGTCAAAGTTTGTGTGCTGCTGCAATTTATATTTCCCACCCAAAGGACATGTTTTGAGCACCTACTGTTCGTGTCCATGGCAACTAGAAATTGACTTCCACCAGGGAAGTATGAATATCCCTAATGCAACAATAATTTTCGATGCCAACCATCAATAGCGGAAAACTTGAGCCCTCCAAATGGTTGCCTGGTAGATATTGGTCAACGACCAGCCATTTATTGGACCTCATGAACCGGAAAGAGAAAGCGAGGACATCCCAATTGGCAGGAAACAGAAAGCCAACTATTCAGAGCCATACTCAATGCTTGGAGTCCCCCGGTTGCTTCAAGTGGGGGGGGGCAAAAAAAGTAAGTGCCTCTCCTCCCCTTATTCGACTGTAAATTAGATGGTGGGTAACAGCTAGTTACACCAAGTCATTTCATTAAAAACGAAATATATAATACAATCTAAATCAGTGGTTCTGAACCTTGTTAAGAAGTACCGAACCCAACCAGTTCATATGCACGTTCGCCGAACCCCCTTCATGAGTGAAATATAAACATTTGATTTTTTACAAATTCAAGACATTAAAAAACAAACCCACACATTCATTCAAAACAGAAAAGAGTAAATAAAATTACATGGCCAAAGTATATGTTTTTTAAATTGCATGACGTCCTACCACGACAGTCACTCGTTGACGACTGAATTTCCCGCAGCACTGATTGGACAAGCAATGTCATGTGATCATCTGCAGCCAATGATAGCCAAGCGGGGGTGTCACAACTAATTGACACGTTGAGTCGGGTGTGACTAATCTCCATGGCAGAGGCTCCGTCGAACCCCTGAGACTGATTCACCGAACTCCTGGGGTTCGATCGAACCCAAGTTAAGAACCACTGGTCTAGATCATGAATATATCAGAGGTAAATGTCATTATGTTCCGCTGGATTTTGAAAAGTCCGATTGTCCTTGAATGCACCTCAAGTATAGTGAGCATCGCGAGACGTCAGCGTTTACACGTCGTCACCGGCTAGCGGCTAGTCGCTAATGCCGAAGACGAGTGTCCTCTCCTAAAATGACGGCGTGATTATTAACTTGCGGTTTCTTAGCGTCCTAAATCTCAAAAAGTCAAAGTATTATTTTGTATTTTTTAGTTTGAAGTTACTTGACGTACGTAATACCTACAGCACATTTGGCAACAAAGTTGTATTCAATTCAATTCAATTTGTTACATTATGAGTATGTTTGCAGTTTCCTTGACGTGTAGATGACAGCACACACGCCCAAAAAACTGTTAGCCGAGGCAGAAAAAAAATAATCTTTTTTTTTTCCTCTCTTATTTATTTGAGGTATCAGAATTACTGAAGCAGTCGAAGGAGTATAACAAAAAGCAAGAGAGAAATTGAAATAGAGAAGGTGCAGTTGTTGCCTCAAGTGAAGTCCAGGTACACTGTGAAAAAGTCCCGGTTTGCTAGAGGGGACTCCGGACTGCTGCGTACTCTTCCACTTAATGCGCTGATAGTCCCCCAATTTCAATCAAGCCTCGAGAAAGCACAGAGAGAACACAATCGACTCCCAAGAAGAGATGCGAAGCCCAGCCGGCATTCTCAAGAGCCGCGGAGTCCGCATGCTAACCCTCCCGTTCATCGTGCCGCCCCCTTCGGTGGACATCAACGCGCCAACATGTTGATGCAGTCGGCCGGTCATTCATGAGTGGCTGAGCTCCCCCCTGACTCCCCACTCTTGAGTTGGATGAATGTGTTTATCAGTTTGGTGCCGTTGTTCGTCGTCCCCGGGGGCCCGTCGACTGTGTTCTCAACCGGTGCATAATCGAAACAAATTGGGGGCGTTAAGGCACTTGGCGAGGAAGTTAATTACGTGACACACGCGGAATGACGCCAGCTCATTTCAAAGTACAAGCCACATAAACACGACAGTCGTGGAGGAGGCGTGAGTATAAAAGAATCCCTCCGCATTGCTCCGGTCCAACAAGCGACTAATGAATGTCAATGAATGAACGCGGCGATGTGCTCGGTGCTGACGGGCATCCAGATGCAACCTTGGCCCCTTTTTGTTCGTTGCCTTGAAACGGACTTAAGAGAGTTTGGCCCACGTCGCTGGCGCCCAAGGTTGCGGGATGTCGTTGGCAGCAAATGTGAAGTATTTTGTAATGCTCCTGCAACAGATGCGCGCGCGTCACTTGTCTGACCTTGGCTCTCTTCTATCTTTGCCGGTAAAGTCGTGACACGCGCCCACTGCGCCTCGCCAGATGAAGCGCCGACTTCCTGTGCGTGTGTTTTGCCATCAGATAAAACAATCTTGGCTGTTTTACCCTGAGGATTGACGGCTGCCGGAACAATGGCGGCCGCGGCCTACTTTTGAAACCCACGGGATGTGCAAATGCAATTGGAGAGGTCAGTGAAAACACATTTTCCCGAACTCAAATGACTGCGCCTGGTGAATTGAAAACATGGGCTTGCGCCTGCACCACGAAAAACATCCACCGTCAGAAATGTCGCATTCTTCAAACAACATCGGAATGCACAATTTCAAATCCATATCACATATGAATGTGAAAGTGTGTCCAGACGTTTTGACGCGTACCTGCCGGGTATACATTATTGATCCTCAACATTGATCCGACAAGTAATGTGATTAGATGAATCAATAGTCTGCATGCCGAGTTCGAGAGGGCACCATCTTGACTTGGTCAATCGATTTCAATGAGACGTAAGGATCAATTTGATGACATCTTAAGACAGCTCATACTTGACATATTGTACCTTATTTTTTTTTTACCATTTTGAAGACCTCCCGGGTGTCCAAATAAGACAAGGATAAAGAATCGACTTCCAAGTATACGGCTTTTGTAACCATGTTGTGCCACATTTCGGCGACATGAGGGCTATTCAGTGTTGCCAATTTAGCATGACCGTTTTTCAAAAAGCGACTTGCAACCATAAAAGTATTGAGAAACTTTGAGGCCGGCAGGAGCTGTTGGGCCCTCTGCGTCCAGACCGCAAACGAATCACACTCACCGTACGGCAGCCCCATAAAAGGAGCACCATTCATGACTCGATTGTATTTTCACTCGTGGCGGCAGCACTTCATCACCAGCATCACCCGCATCTCCTTGTCAACTGCTTAGCCATTTGAGTATTTACCGAATGTTATCGGATGCTAATGCTAATCGACGCAAGCACTGCAGCATTGTTGAGACCTTTTTAGCTTCTGAATTAGTGAAAAGAGCAGGTTCACATTGGAACGGTTTGAAAAATATGCAAGGCTGGCAGAGTCAAATTTTGGAAAGCGTCTCCATTCATATCAGCAGGATTTTTTTTTTCCTGCAAAATGTGCTTCCGAGGAAGGAATTCAGAAGAAGCGCCATTCAAAAAAGTGGGCGACAAGAAACTGACTCCGGTGTTTAATTTCACACTTGACGGGCGGGCAGGGAATCGACAGAGACGACTATTGGCAGACAAGACATTAAAAAGTCAATTTACTGTCATAAAACCATCCTACCTTCACTTATTTCTTTTTTTATACCATATTTCATAGTTACTGTTCTTACGCGAGTGTTATTGATGGTGCGGTGGTCCACGGGCCTGACTCGTGTGCGCGCGGCGTGGGAGGGGCTCCCGCTCGCTGACGGCGTGGATGCGGGTGTGTATGCTTGTCCGTCTCTAATGTGCGCCCTGCGACGGACCGGCGACCGGTCCCGGGGGTCGTCCGCCTTTGGCCCCAAGTCAGCCGGGATCGGCTGCGGCAACTCCCCGCGAGCCTCTTCGGGGTCAACGCCGTTGAAAATGGACACATGAATGAACGGATGTACACCAAAGCGAGCTTACGCGTCAGATTGTTTGTTTGTTTGTTGATTCACGTGCAGGCGTCCATATGCGATCCGTTCATTGGGAGCGGAGCCCCCGAGGAGGGGCGCTGGCAGCGGGCCACGTGGGAGAGAGCGTTGGGGGAGGGAGGGAGGGACACGCTCCCTCCATCCAGACGCAGACGCACGCCGGTGAGACGTTCGGCACCTCCACCTGCAACAAAGAGCGTCCTCCTCCCCTTTTTCCTCCTCCTCCTCGCCCCCTGAGCAGCACGCTCCTCATCTTCACCAGACCGGAGGAACAACTTACGGTACATCACAATCCGGCTTTTTACATTCTATTTCTGAGTCAGCTGCACTTTTGCCAATGTTGTTTTGTTTGTTTTTTTCCCGAAGACGAGCTCCTCCGCGTGTGATCTGTTGAACTTCTTTGACAGCCTCGTTCGACGTGAGTATACTCGAGCATCTCATTCATTCCTAAAGGGGAAAAAAAATGTCCAGATGGTAAGTGCCTTGATGAATCAATGGAAAAAGCCCAGCGCGTTTCATCACAGCAATTACTGTACGCCAATGCTGAATTAACCATCGTTTTGTTCTTTCTTTTGTTTCCCATCTATGGAGACTCAGATCTCTTGTTTTTTTTCTAATCGGATTTTAATGACGTGGTCATGCCACAAGCTCCGGGCGGCGTGCGAGTCCCGCTGAGCTGCCTAGAAAACAAACACGCGGAGCTTATTTGTCATCACACGTCTGTGACGGTCACGGTGGGCGACCTCACCCCGGCGAGTCCTACCAGTGTGTGTGTGTGTGTGTGTGTGTGTGTGTGTGTGTGTGTGTGTGTGTGTGTGTGTGTGAGAAAGAATTGTGTCCAGTTTTTTTTCGTGCAGTGTTTCTCAAACTGGGGCGAGTGGCCCCAGGGGGTTTGTGAACTGTAGCTTCTGTCATTTGCAATCTGGTTTCATTTGAAATCTGACATGATTATTTTCCCTGACAGATTCAGATTTTTTCTTGCTTTCTTGCTTCATTTCGGGGTGAACGTTTTGTCACGTCACTCTGCCTGTTGCGGGAGTCTGTCGCCTCGCTCTGCGGGTTTGTGTTCATTTCGTATTTGTGGTTCCGCTTGCCTTGTTCGCCTTCTAATTGCATTCCTGGCAAATCGATCTGGTTTTGGGGAGTCCATCCTGCACTCCTGCCTGGCCGCTTGCCGACCCCTGGGTCCTCAACCTCGTGCACGCCTCATGACAGCCTGGCCTCATTCAGCGGCTTCTGCGCGGTGGGAATTTGTGGTGTTTGCAAATATTCTTGGACATTTTCATGCGAGCCCGCCCCTCCCCCCTTCTGCTTCCACTTTAAGAGTGGGAAATGAAAAGTTGTTCAAAATCCCGCTTGAGCCCGCAGGTTCCTTTGCCCTCGACTGTTACTGAGAAAAACAATGCAGCTCTACTTCTCCTTTCAGCTTTGACGTCAAAGTGTCATCTGGCCTTGCTTGAAAGTCATGGCCTGGGTGGGGGGTGGAAAAATCTGTATAGGGGTGGTGTTATGTAAATGAGCAACTATTATTTTCAGCCAACAAAAGATTGACTCGGTGTCATTTTGCACTCGACGGGGGTGGGGGGGCGAGCACGGCAGAGCCGCGACGATCTGCAAACAAGCAATCGGAAAGTCCATTTCCCAACCGATGTTTACAGCAAAGAGTTTCTCCCCGCCGTCACTTCAAACGTGTCGTCAACGTGTGCGGGAACGGCGTGAGCTCATTTGCAGCAAATTGGGGACCATTTGTATTCAGAACACGGAATTATGCCCATAACATGGAAATAGGGAACACCGTGCGAGCGAGGGCAATGCCGACTCGCGCTGCTGATGATCATGACTAACATCAAGGTCTTTGAGTAGTTATTATTTGTATTTATTTATTTATTTTTACAGAGACGGAGGCTATGATGAGCGTGCGGGTGCCAGGCCCGGCCGTACAAACGCTCCATGCACGACAATGTCACCGATTCCTGCTTGGATGTTCCACATCGTAGGCGGGCGAGCCCTTCTGAAATAAAATCTCCACGGCGATGTCAGAGTTTCTTTCAAGCAAAACCCGAAAAGGACGGCATCACTAAATCCAGACCTTTTGCTACTCTGAAAGCGAACGGCGCCGTGTTTGGCGGCGATGAATTGTAAAATCAGTTGAAAGGAGGATCGCTTTGAGCCGGGAGGACCTGCGAGCGATGAACCCCTTCGGGGACTCGTCGGGGCCCGGCACATCTCCGAAAGGCTTGGCGGCGGCGGCGCGGGCTTTGCTCTTTGGAATACTTTTGGCAAGCGCCTCAGCCTGTCCCACCGGCTGCCACTGCACGGAAAAGAGCGGCACGACGGCGGTACAGTGCACGTCCGGGAACTTGGAGAGCATCCCGTCGGACCTCCCGAGAGACACCGTCGCTCTCCTGTTGGCCTCCAACCGCATCACCAAGATCCCAAACTACGCCTTCCGACAGCTCGGCCGCCTCCAGGAGTTGGACCTGTCCGACAACAACATCGAGACGGTGGAGGCGGCGGCATTCCACGGCCTGGCCGACAGCCTGCGGGCGCTGGACCTGGCCAACAATCGCATCCAAAGCGTCCCCAAGGAGGCCTTCGCTCACCTCCGAGCCAAAATCAACCTCTCCAACAACCCCTGGCACTGCGAGTGCGTCCTGCAGGAGGTTCTGCGGGAGCTGCGGCTGGACCCGCAGTCGGTGAAGGACGTGGTGTGCCGCACGGCCGTGCAGGAGGAATACGCCGGCAGGTCGCTCATCCAAGTCCTGGACTCGGGGATCAACTTCTGCAACTTTCACCACAAGACCACCGACGTGGCCATGTTCGTCACCATGTTCGGCTGGTTCGGCATGGTGATCGCCTACGTCGTCTACTACGTCAGGCACAACCGGGAGGACGCCAGGCGCCACCTGGAGTACCTCAAATCTTTGCCGGGCGGAGCTCGCATGGCAAAAGATTTGGACACCGTCAGTACTGTTCTCTAGCAAGACGCTTGGATTGGGTGTCGAGTCATCGTGACAGAAACATTTCTGAACCTATTGAAGGCTTTTTAATTATTAAATGGTCATCTGGTGTGGATTGTCTTCGCAAATGACCATTGACAGGGGGTCCTCGGTTTCGGTCAGAGTTCCGTTTTTTGGGCCAAGGACACAGAAATCAGGAAGGGGGCAAGCACGCACGACTTCACAGCACGCTATTTGGCGGAGATGTAAATAATCCGCCCAGAATCCTCACAACCACCATCGAGTGGACGTCGTAGGCCACGAACGTCGTTCGCGCAAATCTTCCGAAATTGACCCTCGTCCGACATCTGCGTCCCATTGGGGCTCGTTCAGATCAACTCAATAAACTGCCCCACTTCCTGTTCCACACTGTGCATCTTGTTACGATCGCCATGAAGACCAAATGTCATGTTTATTGGACAAAATGGTGATTTCGAATTTGATTGTTTTTTTCAATGGGGTCATGTTCAGCATTAATTGATTATTGACACATTCAGCAAAGATTGCAGAGTGCAAAGACTCAATGATGCCAGTGTGTGTGTGTGTGTGTGTGTGTGCGTGCGTGCGTGCGTGCGTGCGTGCGTGCGCGCACACACACACACACACACACACGTGTGAGAGTCGCACCTCTCCACATAAATTTTGAAAGCACACAAGCGGCCACTTAAGTTGCTCAGCTGGCCGTGCGACTCCATTCCTCATGCGTTGGTTATACGGTGATGTGAAAGCAGAGTAATTTGGTCAAGCGCCCCGTGCGGCTTTTGCTTTGATTAGGATGCATTGTGCGCACGGCCGCCTCGGCGATGTCCGCCGGGCTTTGGGCTCGCGGCCATTCCACGCGCGGCATCGCATTATAACATTCTGGAGACGAGCCAGCGAGCGCCGGCGGCTTTGCGGTCAACGTGTCGAGCGTTTGCGCTTTGTGGATTTCGATGCTGTTTGTTGCTCCATGAAAAAAGAAAAAGAAGTGACGGTTTTGAAAAAGAATTTCAGGAGAAATCAAGTGAATCATGAGTTTTGAAATCAGTGGCCTATAATTTTTATTTTTTTTTTATGATGACATTTATCTTATAAAGGGGCGTGGCATCAAACCTACTTGCGATATCTCAACGTTTTTTAAAGCGAAGACGATTTGCCATTTGGCAAGAAACGCAAAGACGAAGCAACCGCATCTGAGTGCAGTTTTGAAAATGAAAAAAATGAGTTCCCGAAGAATGAACGATGAAGAATCCACTTGTTTTTAATGTTTCAAATGTTGGTGCGCGCCGGCGACGAATGAAACGGGGCTGTCTGTCTGGAAAGACTCGATTTGGTCTGACAGAGAAGAGTCGAGCGTTCCCAAAGCCGGCCTGGCTCGAGGCAAGCTGCTTTTATTTAGTCCACTGACATTGCGCCGTGCGTGACACCTGTTGAAATGTTTCTCTCCACCCCTGAAATGTTTCACGCCGAGGGCCATTTTCAGATCACGCCGGCTCCGACCGGGCTGCTCGTCGCCGAAGCGGCTTCGGCTATCACCTTTATAACGGAGGCCTTTTATCGTGGCGGTTGCCATCGTCCTAACTGTCCTTGGCAGGCAGATTTTGTCCTTTGTGTGGCGGTCCCAAACCAGACTGTGTTCAAGGAACACAGGACTGATTCGGCTCTCTTTCTTTCCACCAGGTGGCAACGAAAACGTTTGGCTGCTTTTGTCTCCCTCTAGTGGTGCAAACGAGGTGATGCGAGTCATTTGCTTGAGTTTCAGGTTTGTGACGTCAGTCTAAATTCGGCTTCGTATCCTGTTAAACCGCGTCCATGGGAGAGAATGTGCGCTCATATTTTGGTCATGTAACATTTAGACAAAAAGAAAAATGTCTCAAACCTCAAAATCAACACCTTGATACAAAATGTTCTCAATTGGAATGAGACTCCCGCCCCCTCGCCACGACACACATACGCACACACACACACACGCACACACACGCCCCCCCTCGTCCCAAGCGAAGCTGACAGCGAAGAAGATGGATGCCCCACGAAGAAGTTACTGAGGACGCTTGTGGGTTCGTTTTGGGGCTAAAATCATTTGTTTTTCTCCTTCTTCTTCTTCTTGTTTTTTTTCTTTTTTCTCCAAAACATGTTGGTGTCGTTTTTGCTCTCTGCTGTGATTTTATGCGAGAGCGAAGCTTCGGGCGAGTTCGCCCCCACCGGAGCCGGGGCGAGAGTGCCAACATCTCGCCTGCATGTCGATGAGGAGGAGGACGGCGGCGGAAACTTTTCCGCGCGGCGAATCGTCGAGCCCTCCGCAGGTTCGTATTGGAAACTGCTTTGAAGCTTTTTCATTTAATTGATTTTTCACCATTGTTAAATGACAGTGTATTTATTTCCATTGATTAATGTTTCTTCATTCATCCCATATAATCGTTAATGTGTTCATTGTGAATCCAATATTTGACAAACCTACACATTTCCATTATCCTGATTGAAAGTACAATTTTAAAATGACTATCAGTTGTTTTGAAATCAAATTTGAACTGATGTCAGCTTGTCTGCCTTGAGAAGCTCTCCGGTGGCTTGTTTGCCTCGGGTCATTTTCTGTCTGCACTGCCAAGTGCCATCCACCGAGTTCTGAGGCGTTTGGCCGAGTACAAGCAGAGAATCGGAAAGGAGAAAAGCGGACGAATCTAAGAACGCGGGGTTGCGGTTCCCCGGCGGGGGAGCGCTCGTGAGTCGTCACTACTCGTTTGGGCCAGGAGAAATTGTCGTGGCTGTTTCGAAGGCAATATGGACACGCGTGCTTCTCATGAGACTTAGCCGAGTCACATTCTGGCGAGTCGTGACATCTTCAGTCTGTGTGGGAGGAGTGCGGTGGGCATCGCTCGAGGCCGGCTGTCCCCCCCGCTGCGCTGTCCGGCGCAGTCGCACTTGGAAGTGCACCAAATGCAATCCACCCACTTGACTTGCTTCCATCCTCCCCTCCTCTGGCTCTCAGCCCTTTTCCCACCAGAGTTTCGATGGAACTGGGACAAAAAGGAACCTTGTATTGGCTGAAAAGGTCACGTGTTTTTGGTACACTTTCTGAAGAGCTCCGAGATGCCACGAGATGGCGCCAAAGCGCCATCTCTCTCTCACGACGGCAATAAACTGGGACTTAAAATCGGGACTAAACTGGTGCCTTAGATACACGCCCACATTTATATATTTGTTTTTCTTTCACTCGGCAAAAATATAGGATTCTTTAAAATGAGGCTTCAAAATGTTTGGCGTCATTCCCAGTTACCGTTTCAGATAAGATAAGATAAGATAAAGAAACCTTTATTTGTCCCACACTGGGCAAATTTGCAGTCTACAGTCTACTTCGCATCAAATTCAACATGAAACAAAGACAATTCCACATGCATTTCGAACAAGCACACAATTTTGCATTTTGCTAGCTTAATGCTAGCATACAATATAATTGAAGACGGCAGTTACATGTCAATCGTTTATGTCAGTAGTTTAAACACAGACAATTTCACATGTATTAACAACAAGCACATCGTGTTGCCTCTTGCTAGCTTCATGCGAACAAAGTTTAATTGAATGCACCAGTTACATGCTAGCAGTTTGTGTCGGTAGTTTCAACACAGACAAATCCACATGTATCAAAATTAGCTACTCAACTCTGCCTTCTGCTTGCATAATGCTAACATAATGGAACATGCCATTCACATGCTAACAGTTACCATCCATTGTATCAAACACAGTTGGTGGAGCAATGCATGTTGACCAACAGTTTAACCATACTCACAGGGATATTTTCTTTATCCTCTGCCAAAAAGAGGCCATTACAGCAGTTTACTGAGTTATTATTTTTTGAAAAATACATTCCAAATGACTGTTTCAAACAAAAATTGCAGACTGTTTGATTTACGTGACGGGTTTTTGAGACATTTAGGTGCCTGTTATGGTAGACCTGCCCACTTAATTTCATACCACTCGATCAAGGACTTTTCTTTTTTTTTCTTTTTTAAACTTTCTTGTAGGTGCTATTGGTGTTCCCCATCCCATTCTTTTCGGGCATGTTGCAAGGCCCCTCAAAAGGTTTCTAATTTGCCAAAGAAATAAAAGTAAACAGCGATGACAGGATGGATAGCCTCTCAAATATTCAGCCCATTTCCTCATAATTACTTTGGCCAAACACGGTGGAGCCTCTGCACCGATACGCTTAAGACAGATTTTGGCAAAAAAAAAAAAAAAAAAAAAAAAAAAGGTCTTATTTTGGGACATTGTAGAGTAGTCATCACTAACCTGGTAGTCGAATGGTTAGTGCGTTGGCGTTGCGCTGCAGAGGTGCGGGGTTCGAATTCAGCTCCGGCCTTCCTGTGTGTTCTCAAAAATGTCCGTGGCCGTGCATTTTCTGATCTCTTCTACACACAACTATTCATGCTCACACTCACATCTACAGACAATGTGAATTTTTTTGTTCATCAGCTGACTGGTCATCAAATGGTTCGTGCGTCAGCCTTGCACTGCGGAGGTGCAGGGTTCGATTCTCTTTCCAGCCTTCCTGTGTGTTCTCAAAAACATGCATTGCTATACATTTTCTGCTACTTCCCCGCGCAACGATTCGCGCTCATCCTGAGGAAAAAGAAAAGCCTTCATTCCCTGCCTGGTAGTTGAACGGTGAGTTCGTTGGTCCAATGCTGCGGAGGTGCAGGGTTTGATTCCAGCCTTCCTCTTCGTGCTCAAAAATGTGCGTGGCCATCAGTTTTCTGATCCTCTTCTCCACACGATTCGCGCTGACGCTCACACCAAGGAACAATTTACAAAATTTACTATACATGGCAGTTTTTTTCGGCCAAAAACGCCTTCCAATACATGGTCGTTTTTTTTTGGCTAAAAATGGGCTAAAAACGCCTTTACTATACATGGTCGTTTTTTTCGGCTAAAAAAAAAAAAAATGGGCTAAAAAAATGGTCTTATTTTGGGACATTGTAAATCGTGTTTCACTTCCCTGTTAGCCGAATGGTTAGTGAGTTGGCGTTGTGCTGTGGAGGTGCGCGGTTCGAATCCAGCACTGTCTTATGTGTTCTCAAAAATGTGTTTGGCCATGCATTGTCTTTTCACAACTCAGTACGGGCTCACACTCACATCTATGGACAATGTAAAGTTTTTTTATCATCACCTGACTGGTAGTCGAGTGGTTAGGGTGTCGGCGTCGCGCTGCAGAGGTGCAGGGTTTGAATCCAACTCCGGCCTTCCTGTGTGTTCTAAAAAAATGTCCGTGGCCGTGCATTTTCTGATCTCTTCTCCGCACAACTTGGTCCCACACTGCGGAGGTGCAGGATTCGATTCCGGCATTCCTGTACGTGCTCAAAAATGTGCGTGGCCATCAGTTTTCTGATCCTCTTCTCCATACATCGATTCACACTCACAGTCACACCAAGTAACAATTCACGAAACCCGGTCGTTTTTTTTCGGCCAAAAACGCCTTACAATACATGGTCGATTTTTTTGGCTAAAAAAACCTTACTATACTGTCGTTTTTTTCGTGCCAAAAACGCCTGACTAGACTATGTCGTTTTTTCGGTTAAAAACGCCTTACTATACGATGTCGTTTTCTTTGTGCCAAAAAAGCCTCACTATACTATGTCGTTTTTTTCGGCTAAAAACGCCTGACTATACTATGTCGGATTTTTTCGGCTAAAAACGCCTTACTATACATGGTCATTTTTTTCGTGCCAAATATGCCTTACTATACTACGTGGTTTTTTTCGTGCTAAAAACGCCTTACTATACTATGTCGTTTTTTTCGTGCGAAAAATGCCTGACTATACTATGTCGGATTTTTTCGGCTAAAAACGCCTGACTATACTATGTCGTTTTCTTTGTGCCAAAAAAGCCTCACTATACTATGTCGTTTTTTTCGTGCTAAAACGCCTTACTATACTATGCCGTTTTTTTCGGCAAAAAACCCTTACTATACTGTCGTTCTTTTCGGCTAAAAACGCCTTACTACACTATGTCGTTTTTTTCGTGCCAAAAATGCCTTACGATACTATGTCGTTTTTTTCGTGCCAAATATGCCTTACTATACTACGTCGTTTTTTTCGGCTAAAAACGCCTTCTATACTATGTCGTTTTTTTCGTGCCAAATATGCCTTACTATACTACGTCGTTTTTTTCGGCTAAAAACGCCTTCTATACTATGTCGTTTTTTTCGTGCCAAATATGCCTTACTATACTACGTCGTTTTTTTCGGCTAAAAACGCCTTCTATACTATGTCGTTTTTTTCGTGCCAAATATGCCTTACTATACTACGTCGTTTTTTTCGGCTAAAAACGCCTTCTATACTATGTCGTTTTTTTCGTGCCAAATATGCCTTACTATACTACGTCGTTTTTTTCGGCTAAAAACGCCTTCTATACTATGTCGTTTTTTTCGTGCCAAATATGCCTTACTATACTACGTCGTTTTTTTCGGCTAAAAACGCCTTCTATACTATGTCGTTTTTTTCGTGCCAAATATGCCTTACTATACTACGTCGTTTTTTTCGGCTAAAAACGCCTTCTATACTATGTCGTTTTTTTCGTGCCAAATATGCCTTACTATACTACGTCGTTTTTTTCGGCTAAAAACGCCTTCTATACTATGTCGTTTTTTTCGTGCCAAATATGCCTTACTATACTACGTCGTTTTTTTCGGCTAAAAACGCCTTCTATACTATGTCGTTTTTTTCGTGCCAAATATGCCTTACTATACTACGTCGTTTTTTTCGGCTAAAAACGCCTTCTATACTATGTCGTTTTTTTCGTGCCAAATATGCCTTACTATACTACGTCGTTTTTTTCGGCTAAAAACGCCTTCTATACTATGTCGTTTTTTTCGTGCCAAATATGCCTTACTATACTACGTCGTTTTTTTCGGCTAAAAACGCCTTCTATACTATGTCGTTTTTTTCGTGCCAAATATGCCTTACTATACTACGTCGTTTTTTTCGGCTAAAAACGCCTTCTATACTATGTCGTTTTTTTCGTGCCAAATATGCCTTACTATACTACGTCGTTTTTTTCGGCTAAAAACGCCTTCTATACTATGTCGTTTTTTTCGTGCCAAATATGCCTTACTATACTACGTCGTTTTTTTCGGCTAAAAACGCCTTCTATACTATGTCGTTTTTTTCGTGCCAAATATGCCTTACTATACTACGTCGTTTTTTTCGGCTAAAAACGCCTTCTATACTATGTCGTTTTTTTCGTGCCAAATATGCCTTACTATACTACGTCGTTTTTTTCGGCTAAAAACGCCTTCTATACTATGTCGTTTTTTTCGTGCCAAATATGCCTTACTATACTACGTCGTTTTTTTCGGCTAAAAACGCCTTCTATACTATGTCGTTTTTTTCGTGCCAAATATGCCTTACTATACTACGTCGTTTTTTTCGGCTAAAAACGCCTTCTATACTATGTCGTTTTTTTCGTGCCAAATATGCCTTACTATACTACGTCGTTTTTTTCGGCTAAAAACGCCTTCTATACTATGTCGTTTTTTTCGTGCCAAATATGCCTTACTATACTACGTCGTTTTTTTCGGCTAAAAACGCCTTCTATACTATGTCGTTTTTTTCGTGCCAAATATGCCTTACTATACTACGTCGTTTTTTTCGGCTAAAAACGCCTTCTATACTATGTCGTTTTTTTCGTGCCAAATATGCCTTACTATACTACGTCGTTTTTTTCGGCTAAAAACGCCTTCTATACTATGTCGTTTTTTTCGTGCCAAATATGCCTTACTATACTACGTCGTTTTTTTCGGCTAAAAACGCCTTCTATACTATGTCGTTTTTTTCGTGCCAAATATGCCTTACTATACTACGTCGTTTTTTTCGGCTAAAAACGCCTTCTATACTATGTCGTTTTTTTCGTGCCAAATATGCCTTACTATACTACGTCGTTTTTTTCGGCTAAAAACGCCTTCTATACTATGTCGTTTTTTTCGTGCCAAATATGCCTTACTATACTACGTCGTTTTTTTCGGCTAAAAACGCCTTCTATACTATGTCGTTTTTTTCGTGCCAAATATGCCTTACTATACTACGTCGTTTTTTTCGGCTAAAAACGCCTTCTATACTATGTCGTTTTTTTCGTGCCAAATATGCCTTACTATACTACGTCGTTTTTTTCGGCTAAAAACGCCTTCTATACTATGTCGTTTTTTTCGTGCCAAATATGCCTTACTATACTACGTCGTTTTTTTCGGCTAAAAACGCCTTCTATACTATGTCGTTTTTTTCGTGCCAAATATGCCTTACTATACTACGTCGTTTTTTTCGGCTAAAAACGCCTTCTATACTATGTCGTTTTTTTCGTGCCAAATATGCCTTACTATACTACGTCGTTTTTTTCGGCTAAAAACGCCTTCTATACTATGTCGTTTTTTTCGTGCCAAATATGCCTTACTATACTACGTCGTTTTTTTCGGCTAAAAACGCCTTCTATACTATGTCGTTTTTTTCGTGCCAAATATGCCTTACTATACTACGTCGTTTTTTTCGGCTAAAAACGCCTTCTATACTATGTCGTTTTTTTCGTGCCAAATATGCCTTACTATACTACGTCGTTTTTTTCGGCTAAAAACGCCTTCTATACTATGTCGTTTTTTTCGTGCCAAATATGCCTTACTATACTACGTCGTTTTTTTCGGCTAAAAACGCCTTCTATACTATGTCGTTTTTTTCGTGCCAAATATGCCTTACTATACTACGTCGTTTTTTTCGGCTAAAAACGCCTTCTATACTATGTCGTTTTTTTCGTGCCAAATATGCCTTACTATACTACGTCGTTTTTTTCGGCTAAAAACGCCTTCTATACTATGTCGTTTTTTTCGTGCCAAATATGCCTTACTATACTACGTCGTTTTTTTCGGCTAAAAACGCCTTCTATACTATGTCGTTTTTTTCGTGCCAAATATGCCTTACTATACTACGTCGTTTTTTTCGGCTAAAAACGCCTTCTATACTATGTCGTTTTTTTCGTGCCAAATATGCCTTACTATACTACGTCGTTTTTTTCGGCTAAAAACGCCTTCTATACTATGTCGTTTTTTTCGTGCCAAATATGCCTTACTATACTACGTCGTTTTTTTCGGCTAAAAACGCCTTCTATACTATGTCGTTTTTTTCGTGCCAAATATGCCTTACTATACTACGTCGTTTTTTTCGGCTAAAAACGCCTTCTATACTATGTCGTTTTTTTCGTGCCAAATATGCCTTACTATACTACGTCGTTTTTTTCGGCTAAAAACGCCTTCTATACTATGTCGTTTTTTTCGTGCCAAATATGCCTTACTATACTATGTCATTTTTTTCGTGCTAAAAATGCCTTCCTTTTCTGTGCTGTTTTTTTCGGCTAAAAACGCCTTACTATACTATGTCGTTTTTTTCGTGCCTCCTCAGCCAGGGTGCTCTGCACCTCACACCTGAGACTCGTGAGCTCATCACCTACCTGTTGGCTCGTTTGGACTGGTACAAATTGACTCACAGACCATTCCTCATTGCAAGTTCCTGCCGTCACTACCCCAGTGGACTCTGTTGGCATCACTGCAGTTTATTGTTCCTTGTGCGGACATTCCCTGGTGGACTCTTCGTGCTTCCCCCTGAGTGACTTCACGAAGACTCTTCAATAAACGATGCCAAGTGTTGGCTTCAACTATACCTGCCTGTTGTCGTGATATTGGGGTCACATCCAAACCCGAACAAAAACGCCTTACTATAGATGGTCATTTTTTTACGGCTAAAAACACCTCACTGTTTGTGGTCGTTTTTGTCGGCTAAAAACGCCTCCCAAAACATGGTCGTTTTTTTGGGCGAAAAACGCCTTACTGTACATGGTCGTTTTTTTCGTATAAAAACGCCTTTCTATATGTGGTCATTTTTTCGGCTAAAAACGCCTTACTATACATGGTCGTTTTTTTCGTTTAAAAACGCCTTACCATACATGGTCGTTTTTTTCGGCTAAAAACGCCTTGCTGTACTCGGTCGGTTTTTCGGCTAAAAACGCCTTACTATACATGGTCGTTTTTTTTCGGCTAAAAACGCCTTACTATACATGGTCGTTTTTTTCGTAAAAAACGCCTTACTATAATGGGGTCGTTTTTTCGTCTAAAAACGCCTTACTATACATGGTCGTTTTGATCATTTAAAAAGGCCTTCCTATACATGGTCATTTTTTTCGGTTAAAAACGCCTTACTATACATGGTCGTTTTGATCATTTAAAAAGGCCTTCCTATACATGGTCATTTTTTTCGGTTAAAAACGCCTTACTATACATGGTCGTTTTGATCATTTAAAAAGGCCTTCCTATACATGGTCATTTTTTTCGGTTAAAAACGCCTTACTATACATGGTCGTTTTGATCATTTAAAAAGGCCTTCCTATACATGGTCATTTTTTTCGGTTAAAAACGCCTTACTATACATGGTCGTTTTGATCATTTAAAAAGGCCTTCCTATACATGGTCATTTTTTTCGGTTAAAAACGCCTTACTATACATGGTCGTTTTGATCATTTAAAAAGGCCTTCCTATACATGGTCATTTTTTTCGGTTAAAAACGCCTTACTATACATGGTCGTTTTGATCATTTAAAAAGGCCTTCCTATACATGGTCATTTTTTTCGGTTAAAAACGCCTTACTATACATGGTCGTTTTGATCATTTAAAAAGGCCTTCCTATACATGGTCATTTTTTTCGGTTAAAAACGCCTTACTATACATGGTCGTTTTGATCATTTAAAAAGGCCTTCCTATACATGGTCATTTTTTTCGGTTAAAAACGCCTTACTATACATGGTCGTTTTGATCATTTAAAAAGGCCTTCCTATACATGGTCATTTTTTTCGGTTAAAAACGCCTTACTATACATGGTCGTTTTGATCATTTAAAAAGGCCTTCCTATACATGGTCATTTTTTTCGTATAGAAACGCCTTATATACATGGTCTTTTTTTTTGGCAAAAAAGGCCTTACTATACTATGTCGTTTTTTTCGGCTAAAAACGCCTTCCTATACATGGTCGTTTTGATCATTTAAAAAGGCCTTCCTATACATGGTCGTTTTGATCATTTAAAAAGGCCTTCCTATACATGGTCGTTTTGATCATTTAAAAAGGCCTTCCTATACATGGTCGTTTTGATCATTTAAAAAGGCCTTCCTATACATGGTCGTTTTGATCATTTAAAAAGGCCTTCCTATACATGGTCGTTTTGATCATTTAAAAAGGCCTTCCTATACATGGTCGTTTTGATCATTTAAAAAGGCCTTCCTATACATGGTCGTTTTGATCATTTAAAAAGGCCTTCCTATACATGGTCGTTTTGATCATTTAAAAAGGCCTTCCTATACATGGTCGTTTTGATCATTTAAAAAGGCCTTCCTATACATGGTCGTTTTTCGGGTTAAAACGTCTTACTATACATGGTCGTTTTTCATCTAAAAACGCCTATCTATACATGGTCGTTTTTTTCGGGTTAAAACGTCTTCCTATACATGGTCGTTTTTTCGTCGAAAAACGCCTTACTATACATGGTCGTTTTTTTCGGGTTAAAACGACTCACTATACATGGTCGTTTTTTTCGGCTAAAAATGCCTTCCTATACATGGTCGTTTTTCGGGTTAAAACGTCTTACTATACATGGTCGTTTTTCGTCTAAAAACGCTTATCTATACATGGTCGTTTTTTTCGGCTAAAAACGCCTTACTATAGATTGTCGTTTTTTTCGTCGAGGTAAAAAAAAAAAAAGTTTTTTTTTTAAGTCTGCAAAAAGTCCGCAGTCCGTGAGAAGCTGCAAAACAACAGCGAGTCACATAGAGCAACATATACAGTACTGAACTCCATGTATATTAAAAAAATATATATGCATCCATATATATATATTTTTTTATTTATATGTTTGAAAAAAATCCGCGATGCACTGAAGCCGCGACAAACGGACCGCCAAGTAGCGAAGGATCACTTTATTTTAAAAATCAAGAGGTGGCCCTGTGGTCGACTGGTTAGCGTGTTGGCGACACAGTACGGAGGTGCAGGGTTAAATTCTTGGCCCCCGCTTTCCATTGTGGAGTTTGCATATGTCGATGCGCCCGCCGCCCAAAGGCAGCCAGGATCGGCTCTAGCACGCCGGCGACCCTTCTGAGGGGAAACCTGATCGGCTCATGGATGGATAGATTCAGAATTGAGTCATCTGTCAAGGATTTTTCGAATGAATGGGTGACTCGCAGACACGTTTTTTTCCCTTATGGGACATGTTTTTAAATTGCCATCACGTGATTAGGATTCAGTCACCGGTTTGGTCCGACGAAACGCTGCAAACAAATCGACAGTGCCATCCCAATCCAGACGATGGCGAAAACATGAAAGGTTTTCTTCAGGAGCTGAGCTGACAAAGGAGCGCCACCCCCCGTCTGATCCAGTGCTCGGCGTCCACGTCCGTGTTGAGCGTCATGGCGATGACGTAGTTGGTGGAGTGGCCGGTGGTGGACAGCGTGCCTCGTCGCTCGCTGGTCTTGTAGACGGGCGACAGGTAGCACATCCGTTCGGGAATGTCCAGACGCTTGATGGGCTTCAACCACATCTGAGCCGGACAGGAAAGAAAAATGGCGGTGTGACGCCAACTGCATGCATTTCCACGGGAGGAAAACCCAACGGTTCCTCCCCAATTGAAACTTTCGCCGACGCAAACAGGTGTTGGTCACTTGAGGCTTGTCAACAAGTTTGGCGATGATCAAAAGATCAAGTGGGCCACTCCAAACGACGACGTCGAGAAAAGGCCAAAAAACAGTCGTAACGCAAGTCATCGCCATTTGCATTTCAAAGCAGCCTTTGTTTTGATTCCCGTTCCCTGTGAATAATAAACACATTTTTAATTATGTCATGCGCATTATTCATCAGCACTCAGGGCCACGACGACGTGCAAAAACAATCACGGGAAGAGCTGATGAGTTGCTGCCGGCACTTCGAATCTGCTGTCAACTTCCATTAGGTTCGCGCCTGCTAATTCATCAACACAAAACGGCGGGAAAGGAGCGTTGGCCATTTCAACACAATCACAAGCTTGCTTAAAGGGGCTTCTTGAGGGTGATTTTAAAAGTATGGCACAAATACATACATCACCTGTCAACAAGTGTTTTTTGTTTTTTTTTGTCGCGATAAATTTTTTTTTTTTTGGGGTGGTCGCTGCAAAACGTGGTTTTTAAGATAACGCCAATTTGACAGTCATAGTGGCCATTTTTCTCAGAAGTTTCTCACGCTTGCGCGATAAACACGTTCACCCGTAGTTGCAGTTCCACAGCCGTCCTGAAGGAAGCGCGAATGCAAATCAAACGCATCACACTGAGCTTGTGCTTGGATCGTGGCGGCGGCGGCGATCATCCCGCAGCGCGTATCACTCACCACCGGCATGGTGTCATGCAACACTTTGGGGTACGACTCGGCCAGACGTTTGGTCTTCCTGTCCCAGCGGGCGCCATCACACACACACACACACACACACACACACACACACACACACTTGAGCAAGTCGCAAAAAGGTGCAACTGATGAAATGAAATGGGGAAAAAAAAAAATGCGCTACTCAACAAGGCCGGGTCGAGACAGGCCAGCATGAGGGGGTCTTGTGCTCCAGCACACTTATTTTATTGCGCTTGTCGTTGTTCTTCTTTTTTTTTTTTCTTTTTTTTTTTAACTTTCTAGTGGGTGCCATTGGTGTTCCCCATCCCATTCTTTTCGGGCATGTTGCAAGGCCCCTCAAAAGGTTTCTAATTTGCCAAAGAAATAAAAGTAAACAGCGATGACAGGATGGATAGCCTCTCAAATATTCAGCCCATTTCCTCATAATTACTTTGGCCAAACACGGTGGAGCCTCTGCACCGATACGCTTAAGACAGATTTGGCTTTGGCTTGCGTTTCTCCTCTTTCTACGGAATGTATGACCTAATTCTGACACAAACAAGGCTGCCCATGTTTATATCAGCAGGAGTGGGCGAGGCTTTAGTGTGTGTGCGTGTTTGTGTGTGCGCGTGCGCGTGTTTCAAGAGCTAAGTCGCTGGAGGCCCATCTGTTAGGAGTGTCTGGTGGTCTCGCAGAACCACCCAATCGTGATTGTGTTCTCTTTAATAGTGTTTGTGAAAATGGCTTTGCTGGTTCTCCGTCCTGCCTTCCTGAACATTTCACTTTCAGACGATTTGGGCCCCCGCCAATGCACAAATGTGTGTGTTGAACTTCGAACACGCAACACAACATGAGGATCCATTCCTCATCCACATCATTGGCCTCACATGTCCCGTTTCAATCCTCATCATAAACCGATTTGCCGCGTGCGCCGCTTTGGCCAAATGGGGGAGATTATCGTAATCTGGCACGGGACACCCCCTGTTTCACATTTATCCCCCCTTCACCCCCCCCCCAAGAGTCTCCTTATGTTGATACACAGTGATGATGATGATGATGATGATGATGATCACAAGCAGCATGCATCATCTTCCCTGCAGGTTCAAAGTTCAACCTGAAAGTGCAGGTCGCTGACAGGCTGACTCGTCAGTTCCTGAGCCAGGCAGAGGTGGCGCTTTACGTCAACTACGCCAGAACCAAGACGGTTTTTACAGGGGAGGACGGCGGTGTTTTGCTGCGAGTCCCTTTTCAAAGCGGCTCACCCGTCACAATAACGGCGTGCAGGGACGGCTACGTTTGCGCAGCGCTTCCCTACGGAGCTATCAAAGCACCAAGTAAGATCACCAGTCCAAAGTGGGCCGAGCCGGCGGTCTCCAACGGCAACGTTTCGCTCTGTCTCAGTCTTTTCTTCAGTGACCGCGCCGCTCGTGCGTCTGACGCAAGGAAACATCTGGCTTTTTGAAGACTCTCTGCTGATCGCGGACAAAACATCTGGTAAGGTAGCATTGTCGGCGTCATTTCATGATTGCGTCAGTCACAACGTGATGAAAGCGTTTCGTTGACCGCGCTGCAGATGCGTCAGTAGAGTCCGTCGTCCGGTTCCCTCGGAGCCTGCTGAACATGACCGAGGGCGGCGACGTGGCTTCTTTGAAAGCCTACTTGACCATCCTGAAGCCGGCTTCAGAGGAGAGAGGCTTTCCGAAGACGGTGGGCGTCACGAGGAGCGCGGCAGGTTTTTATGAACTCATGTTTGGTTTGAAATGCGGCCGTTATCGCAAAGCCCGGCGTTCAGTCGCATCAACGGTTTTTCCACTGACAATGTGAATGCGACAGCAACACGTCGCCACTGTGTTTTTGGCCTTCCCAAGGATACGCCGGCGTGGAGTTGAATCCAGCGGCGGCCGTGAGCGTGCGACTGTTCTCCGGAGACGCGGAGCTGAATATCCGCGGTCCCATAAAGATCAGCCTAACTCTCCCCGACAACTGTGGACTGCAGTCTTCAAACGCGCTGCCGGCGTGGTTATATAACCGCACCACTGGTGGGTTGAGCGAGCCGACGCGTGCTCCGCTCGATCGCTTCACGTCTCCTCGCGTTTTACTCGGTCTCGGGAGATGTGGTTTGGATTTGATCTCTACAGATAACCCGGACTCGGAAGTCATCGTTCATCTGAAGCTCGGCCGCCTCACGGGGCTGAACAGCCACTTCCGCCGTATGACTTCATCGAATGGGTTGTTGTCCTTTAGGTGGCTGGATGAGACGGGGATTAGGGACGGTGGTGTCAGAAAGTGGAAAACTGAGTTGGACATTCACCGCTCCTCACCTTGGCGACTGGATTGCTGCGCCGGTGCCAACCGCCGGAGGTAAAGCGCTGACCGAAAGCCGTGCGGCTTTGAAACGTCACCAGAATGAGAAACTCCCGACCTCTCCGTCTCTCATCTGTGTCAATCTTCAGATGTCTTTGGACCCGCCGTGCTGCGTGACTTCTTTGTCCAGTATTCCTCTTTGCTGCTGGTTGTCCTTGGAGGAACGCTTTGTGTCGTTGCTTGCCTTCTCGCCGGATTCGTGTATTGTCACAGGTAAGAAGGGCTCGTCGTCGCCGAGCGTCCGATCTTTGAGCGCACGCTTGAGGGACCAAGCCAAATCAAAAACTGCATTTGAAAGAATAAATGAAGACATGAAGAACTTCCTCCAATCCACTGAATGCACTTGCGAGTTTGCCGCTCACTTGCCTCTGGCAATGCGACGGACACGTCGATAAACGCAAACGACGCACTGGTGCTCTCAATGCACACAGTGATCAAGTTCTGTTTGTGCTGCTTATCAGATGCTAACGCTGTTAGCGAAGGCATCTGACAAAACAGCTGGCTGACAGGCACGTTTTGCCAAATGGGGCGTTTTTTTTTTTTTAAGTCTTGTCGCTCTCTTCTCTTGAGGCGAACGAAGGCGACGCGCACGCTACCGCTGACGAGAAAAGACCAATCCACCACGACCGGGAGCAATGAAGACGTTGAAGGATCCTCCCCGTCTCAGCGCTTCTTGACCCAAAGGAGGCTCGACCAACACAACGTCACCGCATCCATATTGAACGGCAACGGTGTTCTCGCCAATCCCAAGGCGCTGGCCGCCGGCGCTGAATCCGACCATATGATTCCCCCGAGCAGCGTTCCCGCGTCTCCGATAGTCGCTCTGCTCTATTACGACCAGCCTGTTGCCATTCCGCATCCGTCGGCATTCGTCCAAGCGGACGACCAAACGCAGCGCTGGAGTCCAGCCTTGTACGCCGGCGGCGCAGAGAAACTGAGGGAAGAAGGCTCAGGCCTAAAGGTGTCGCGGGGCTCCTCAGCCACTCGGACCCGGGAAGGGGATACGGGAGGACACGCCGACAGCACCGGAAATGCTCCGGTACTGGCAACCAGAGGCCAGCGTGGTCTCCTTGAGTCTGCGTCAGTTCCGGAAACATTAAGCAAAATGGGAAGCGGTCGCCATTCGATGGACGCCGCGACCGAACTTTCAAAGGCGCCCTCATCGCAGCCTCCCCGGGCCTGGTTTGTGAGTCTCGAGGGTAAACCCGCCGCCGAGATCCGTTACGCCGTCGCGGAGCACCGGCAAAGGAGAAGAGCGGCGGAAAGTCGAGAGACCAGCCTGGATTCGGGCGTGGATATGATCGAGATGAACCAGGTTGGCGGGAGGAGAGCCGTCGCTCTGGAACGGAGTGCCACTTTTGTGAAGAGCGCATCGGGCAGCAAACCGACGTCGCGGTGAAATCCATCAGGGAGCCTTGAAGTCAAACATGGCGTCAGAAGTGATTCGTTACAGGTCATCTTCGTGGTTGAGTTCACGTCGGCATTCCATCCGCATCTGCAATTTCGCACTCCCTGACTATCGATCGTAAAACACATTCCAAGTGGACAATGCACGTGATTCTGTCTGTCCAGTCTTTTAGGAGCTGAGTTTGTCATTTGGAATCAGTTCTTCTTCACTGTCGCCTCTCAGTTTCTTTGGAACCGCTGAAGGATACAAACCATTTTATAAACAACAAGATATCATTTGGAGCAGGACCACTCCAGGTTTCTGCATGCCAATGCGTGTTGAGCTCGGCGGCCTCAAAGACCCCAAAACACGAACGCGCAGAGTTTGGATCTGGATGCGAGTTTTGACATTTCGTCTCATGAATCGGATCATTTCTTCATGCAACATTTCCTTTTTCTCCGTTTTATTTCTTGCTTATCTTCATGATCCTAATTTTGGTTTTTTGTCATCTAATAAATTAAATGTGTGCAATTAAAGTGCCGCGCTTGGTTTCTCTTTTGACATTTTTTTTTCAACTTAAGACTGCTGTCAGAGGGCATTTTCTTAGTCGGCTCGCGTCAGCAAAGGGGTTGAATGTGCACTGCGTGTTGGAAGAGAAACCACTAGAGGTCAGACTTGCACCAACTTTGTTTCTTGTGTCAGAAGTTGTTGATCGTCAGCCCAACCACTTGGATGGAAACGCCCACGTGTGGTCTCTGGAGGAAATCATAATAACAATACAGTAATAATAATAATACATTTCATTTGCAAGCGCCTTTCACAACACTCAAGGACACTTTCCAATCAAGAGCAAAACAATAAAACCACAGATAAAATTCTAAATAAAAGAAGAGATGGATTAAGAAGGTACGACAAGATCAGAATAATATCTATTTTTTAAAAAGTACATGTGTAATTCAAGTTGAGGGACGGTGCGTGAACGGTCAGCATGTCTGCCTCACAGTCGACAAGCGCTGCGTTTGAATCTCGGCTCAGGGCTTCATGAGCGATGTTTGCCCGCTCGAACCCGCGTGTGCGGGGCCTTTACTCGGGATACTTGAAACGCATCCTGGCAGCTTCCCACAGACTGCGAGTGTGCTATTTGGCAATCTGTGCTGTGCGATTGGAGACCAGTTCAGAGCGCACCCTGCCTGGTTCTGACCAATCAACTGATCAGACAGGAAGCAGCAAGAGAGGAATATCAAGTGCATCGTTTCCCGCCTCCACCTTTCTAATGTCCTTGATTCGACATATTGGGAGTCCTTCTTGAGTAATCAAAGACTTGCAGCTACAGGAGCACGCTGACATTTATGATACGATCATTCCCACCCCCTCTGATACCGATTAGACATCTTCACATGATTATGCAAACGCTCACCAAGCACAGGATGAAGTTGAGTACTACGAGGGAAGAAATGCCGCCAGGACACTCTTTCTGAATGTGCAACCGTCAAGAGCAATCGTGCACATACTGTACAAACGGGCGCGCGCACTCGCGCGCTCGCTCGCTGTTGAAAATAGAACGGCTCGGTGTGAATGAGTTCGGAAATAGCTTGCGCTTGAAAGGCGCTTGGCTGGCGATGCCCGGGCCCGATTCTCTTCCTCCTCAAGTGACATCTCATTTGCCACATTTTGTTGATGTACCTCGTTATAGCGATGCGGGCATGACGCCTCTTCGGTTTCTTGCAGCCAGTGGCCCCCGCTGCAAAGATTGTGTGTCGGATTTCAAGTTCAAGTTCAAGTCAACTTAATTGTCAAATGTACCCTCCGTGCGATGCGTTGTGGGTCTGCCGCAACAACATCAAGAGCCCGGAGGAGGATTGGGTGCAGCTGAGAGGACGCCGAAAACATTTGCGACTCGCTACTTTATAGGACAAAAGAGTATTTCTTGAATTCCAGGATTACTGTCATGAACTTGACTTTGGAGTCAGCCAATCCTCCACGCAGCGTCTCCAGTTGGTCCAGAATGCTGCTGCTGATCTCTTGATCGGTACTCGTAAGAGGGAGCACATGACTCGTACTTCAAGCAACCCTTCACTGGCTCCCGATACATTTTCAAGTTGTTTTGAGGATGCTCTGATTTGTTTTCCAATCTTGAAATGGCCTGGCTCCACCTTTCCTCTCTGAGCTCCTCCACCACTACGCCTCAGGTCTGCAGACCAGATGCTGTTCGAGGCACCGGGAACTAAGCGGAGGCTCAGAGGGGATCGAGCCTTTTCCGTTGGAACGGACACTTGGCCATTTCGGTTTGATGCGGACATTTCAGGTGAATTCTTGCGCTCAAAAGTTGAATTTAAGGAATTGGACTTCCTGATTGTTGAACATTTTGTCTTGCATCCAAGACTTGATCATTTCCAAATTGGAGGTCAGCATTCTGGACCGAGCCTGAGGTCGGGCGCTTTGAAAGCGCTGCGGGAGAAGCCTTTTATGTGCAATGAAAAAAACGTGACACAAACGCACAATGATGTCACAGCGCGCCCTGGTGTGTACGACGCAAGACAAATGTTGCTCATAAAGTTGGAATGTCTTTTTCGGTGCCTTTTCCGCTCGGCCTGCAAATGCGGAGCAGCTGTTCCTCGCGCCGCTTCAACTTGAATGTATGTCACACTGCATGCGAGTGAAGCCGTCTGACTTTCAACTTTGTCGCTTGTGGGCGGCGCTAGATTCCGTTATGTGCTATTCGTTTAGGTTTTGGTGGATTTTGCTTTGACGTGAACTTGGTTTTTGTGTCTTTGTTGGTTTTGGGAACTAAAGGAGATGCGTGCGTGCGTGTGTGTGTGTGTGTGTGTGTGTGTGTGTGTGTGTGTGTGTGTGTGTTACAGTTGAAAGTGAGTTGGTGAGGGAATGCAACAGCAGTGCACGGCTGAAAGCACAGCAAGCCAAAGACTGGCGCGGTTTGTTTGACTGCGTTTTCCCATGCGGATCAGGCTGCGGAGGTCTCGTATGTCCCGGTGAGCCCAGTGCACCGCCGCTGCCCTGTAGACGAGGTGACCCGGCCTGCCTCAGCTGCGCAAATAAAAGCAAGAGCTTTCCATGCCCCGTTCCCACGTTGGAGTTGCCGTGTTTGTGCTTGGCCACCTGTACGCCGAGAGATCAGGGTCAGGTTTTGACAACGTCGGTGGATGTCGGCTAACGCCTTTGCTTGAAAGGGGATGGAAACGGCAGAAAAATAAATTGACTTTAAGAAAAAAAAAAAAAAAAGCTGATTGGCAATTTAAAAATGGCGAAAAGGCCGCACGGCTCCGGGAGTGAAGCGCTAATTGGGAGCTTCGGACGGAAAGCGTCGACGCACGCAGCCCCTTTTGGACATGGCACGGGAGACTGCGGCAAATGTTCAAATGTCATCTTCATCGAGGCAAATAATCTTTGTCGAGGTTGCGGCGAGGTCAGGAAGACGGGGGGGGGGGGGCTATCTTTAGCGCTCGCTAATGGAATAGCGGTGAGGGACTTGGATGCAGTCGGAGCCTTGAGGAAGCGTTTGCTGGAAATTCAAAAAGAGAACCGGGCTGTCGGTGCAGCGCAAGGGCATGCGCGTGTTTGGAATCGGCTCTACGCGACGAGAGAAAGAAGACTCTGCTATTTGAGATCTAAACCAGCAGTGCTGTCACTTTCACTTAGTAAGTCAGAAACGAAGCCAATTCTCAGTCAAACGGCCGCAGGGCAGCAAGCGATCGCGGGGGGGGGAGAACGAAAAGCAACCCAAAATGAAAGTGCAAAACTTCATTATTTGGCTCTCCCTCCTAACTTCCGCAAGCTTTGCTTCCGCGGGGACGAGGCCCCAACGTGGGTTCTTGGCCCGGGCGCACGTTTCCCTCTCCCGTCTTGTCTGTTTTCATCATCGCCACCTGGAAGCACAAATGCGCCTCCTTATGTAACGTCGTTGGCCGCTGCGCCGCGCTCATCAAGCGTGTCAGCCTCTTGACCCGCCCACTCAGCCTTTCCATCCATGCGCAGTAATACAATCCAATCCAATACATCCTGATTTAAAAAAACGCTTTCACAACAGCTGCGGCTGGAACAAAGGAAAACAAAGGAAAAGAAATCAGGCCGCGTGCTGGTGCTGCTCAAGCTTCCGAGCACATTCGTGCCGTTTGCCTGGAAAAGAAAAGCAAAAGAGGCCCACTTCTGACTTTGACCGCGTCGTCCGCCGCTCTCCTCCGACTGCCTGAGGTCTACGAAAGGAAGAAGACAAGCATGCGGCGCCCAAGATGGCTTCCCGCGCTCTCTTCCTGATGATGATCGATCTGTTTGTCACAGGGTCTGCCCATTGATCTTTTGCAATGTTGTTCCTCACTAAATCAAGTCGCTTTTGACAACAACAAAAAATAATAATAACAATGGAAACCTTCTCCATGCCTGGCCCCAATTGACAGAATGGTACGGCTCAAGATGCTATTGATTCCGCGCCATCAATTTGGTTATCTTCTATGCTGCCGGTAAACAATGTCGGAGACAGAAAAAGCCTTGATGAACGGGCTCTCGCCTCCTTTTTTCCAACCTCAACTGTTTCATTTCATGAAAATTTGACACCACCTATCACGGTCGACGTTCCCACCAAATTTCGTGTCAATTGGTAAAACTAGAGGGCGGGGCTAAAATGCGTTCTTGTAGGAAAGGACACGCTTTGGTCTGGGATGCCACTCCCCATCGGAGATCATCTGCGGGAATGGGTCAATGCGTGAGCCCTGTCGTTCAGCTAAAATGGCCGTATCACCCCAAGACGGCCAACTTCCTGTTCCCCTTTCCCCGATGCCTGTTGCGATCGACGTGTCCACCCAACTTCACGTCGATCGGCCCGACTGCTCGCAGGGACTTTGTTTTCCTACTGTGCGGTTTCAGATACCTGCTTCTGATTGGAGCCCACTTGAACAAAATGCCTGCCTCTCACCAAAATGGCTGACTGACTTTTCGGTTTTGGTGTTGGTCCTTGAGACTTCTTTCGCGTGTCCTGTTAGGATAAACCTGCGCGCCCGTTTTTTCCACATGTGCTCTTTGTTGTGGAAAGTCAAGGAGCGCTCACACCGTGGAACAAATCTGCTGTATGGAGCATATGGCGCGCTCGGCGCTGTGCTGGTGGCAAGCACGTTGGACAGAAATAGCCCCCAAAGTGAGACACCAAAGTGGAAGCAGAGTACGCATACCGAACACCAGGAATGTCATGAGCGTGCGCAGACGCTGGACCCGAGCGTCGCTGGAAGTCATCCAACCGGGTGAACCGTGAGACGCAATGCCATTCCATGCAGGAAATGGGATTTCCCGATCAAATGAGTGCCGAGTTCAAACGTCAGCACGATGATCAGAGCTCGCCCGAGAGAAGACCAGATCTGGCGACGAGTCCGGTTACACTCTATGAAGTGGAAATGCAGTCGGACGCATTGATGTACACCGTATACGCAAAGTTTCACAGTATACATCACGAATGCGAGCGCGCGTCCTCGGTCGAGGGTGTCGTCGGCCGAAGACGTGGAGAAAATGACGGCAAAGCCGTCCTGAATTTGTGACATCTTTGTCATC